GGGGTGCACAGGTGCACCATGAGCTCTCTGTTCATTTATTAAACCTAATTATATCATCATCAAGACATCTGAAAATTTAACAATGGCTCTAAAACTATCAAATGTGTAATCAGCATTCAGATTGCCCAGGTGTTTCAAAGCTATTTTCATGAGAATAAGTGTTTATTGCACTTATCTTGTTAAAAATTCTGTTCTGTGACCTTATTGATAAGACATGTTCTCTAGCAAGGGAGAAAGCCTTCAGATATTTACTAGTGTTAGTGATATGATGATACATTTGAAATATAGAGGTAAAAAGTAATGAAATACAGAGGAGCTAGATTTATTCATAAGGTGGCTCTAAGTGCTTGAATCCTAAGAAAAAGATGTAACCCAAATGAATACTAGAGCTAATCGCGGCTTAGGAAAGAGTTGTTCCCTTTGAATAAGTCCTGTGGGATTTAGTTGCTGTCTATCCCTGGTATATGGTGGCAGCCATAGCTTAGAAGCCAAGACTTGCTTTTGCTTAAGTGTTTTTTAAACACGTGAACTACAAAGCAGAAGCCTGGTTACCTTAGCTGAACTGCTGAAAATCTTGGTCACTCAGAGTGACTCTGAAACAATGGCTTCTTGGACATTCAGACTGACTGTGGTTAGAATTTATAACTCATAAAAGAAAGGTTTGTTTTTCCCAGCGTTTTGTTTGTTTAGTAACCACCATCAGTAGAAGGGGAAGTACGAACTTGTGCACAGAAGACATTTCCTCCTCTCGGTGCAGGCACAGCAGATCCCGAGACAGGGAAGCCAGCGTGCTTCTGCATCACCTATCTCCCCAGCCTTGCTTTCCATGCCTTCCTGTCGTTTCCTCTCTGAGCTACGTGAAGCAGTGCTGTGTTCTCCACACCCACCTTCCTGCGCCCACCCTCCCTTATCACACTGGAGACTTTCTAGACTCATGAGGATGGTTCAATGTGATCTTCTGCAGTGAAGACGGCGGGATTCTTTCCTGGGAGGGAAAACTTTTTGTAGAATGTATTGTTTTAAAGTTAGCAAAGCATGTCCTTTTGTGTCTTAGCCTCTCGGTTTGCTTTGCCTGGGAAGTGAGTGTCAGTGCAGCTGTGATGCTCAGTGTCTGTTAGGTTGGCATCACACTGAGGAATGAGAAAATCAAACTGGCTCCGTTGCTATTAGTATACAAGTCTCTGAAATACAGAAGAAAAGGAAAGATTTCCTTTTCATAGAGCGATAAGGGCAAACCCCAGGAAGTGGCGTGCGTGTTGCTTGGAGAATAAAGGATGGTGATATCTGAAAATAGGAAGACCACTGGAGGCTGTTCCCGATGGAGAGAACCCTCAACAGAGGAAGAGAAGAGAATGCAGGGCGAGTGGACAGCAGATGAGTCATTCGGCTGAAGCCTGGTATCGGGTGGTGAGAAGGAAGGAAGACGGGAAGAACTGTGCGTGGTGTTTCAAGTGCCGTGCTTTAGCTCAAGGCCATCCGTGCACAGGTTCCTAACGAGCGTGAGTGCTCGCACTTCAGATGGTCTCTTCGTGGCTGAGGACCCTGCCAGGGAAGGGGGCACGGATACGACCACCCTGGCTCCTCTGTTTGGGAGGTCTCACAGAGTAAGGAAGTCTTCTCCCCTCTCAGAAACAGTGTATGACCATGGTGGCACCCCAGCTCTCAGTAGGCGAGGCAGGTGACGAGGAAATCAAGACTGTTCTGGGCTACACAGTGAGACTGTCTCTGAAAACAAACGTTACAAAGGGAAGAACGGGGTTGTAAGAATTTATCTTATTGATGCCATTTAGAGGTATTTATCTAAATTTAGGAAAATGAAGCAACTTTAGACAGAAAAGTTGAAGTTCAGTATAAAAGGCTATTTTCTTACCCGTTTGAGAGTGGGTTGCTGACATGATACCCTGTTTTCCCAGATACTTCACTCTGTATTTCCTAGACGTCCTCCTGCTTAAAGGTGTCCAGTGGTACTGGCCATTGCTAATGCTCAGGCCCTGTTCCACTTTTACAGGTTCCAGCAAAGACGGAAAGGTCCAATTCAGACAGGTACAGTAGTCAGGTCTCAGCCTCCTCAACTCCAGAAGAGCTTGGTGTCTCTGACACTGAGGACCTTACGCACTCCAAAGGTGACGGATGCCCTCCTTGCTGTTTGGTGCTACCGCTGTCCTACACCTTTGCCAGTGCTGCTACAGAAATGATACTGTTTTTAATGACAATTTTCAAATGTCATTACTTTGGGCATTCACTTTGATAACTGGTAAAGGCAATGGTCTGCCAAGCATGTTTTGCAGGCCTTTCCCTTCCTTTATGATTATTTTGAGGACTTTGAAACTATAAAATACCCATTTCCTTGTGGAACATCTAGTCTATAAGCCTGTTTGGGAATAATAGCATACTATTGTTCCCGTTGTTGCTTGTAGTCTACATTTTTTCCATACCATTGAACATGTAGCAATGGAACTCTTTCTAAGTCCAAGGGCAGGAGTAGGTAGTTCTTTGAGGGTCCTATAATGTAGCCCTGGCTAGCCTGGGACTCTAGAAACCAGGGTGACCTGCCTCTGCCTCCCCAGTGCAGGGATTAAAGTATGAGTCACTGTGCTTGCCTGGTAAAGCTCCTTTCTCTCTAATGCTGGCTCCTCAGGCTCGACAAGTTAGTAGCCAATTTAACCCGGTTTCCTCATAGGTCAAACGGAAATTGTAAAATTGTAGCTTTGTTCTTTGGGTTATTGTGAAAATTAAATAAGGCATATAAACACCTGGCCTGCTGTTATTGTCATAATAATTAGAGATAATAAACAAGTACTTCAGCTGCAATACCATTTTAAAGTTGCTGACAATAACTTAATGGAAAACAAAACCCCTGGCAGGAAAAATACAATTGTGTCTATTCCTTTCCGTGTGTGGTGTGTGTGTGTGTGTTTGTGTGTGTGTGTGTGTGTGTGTGTTTGTGTGTGTGTGTGTGTGTGTGTGTGTTTGCACATGGGCACTCTGAGACGATAATTCCACAGTACAGATAACTAAACAGCTTGGCACTTGCTTCCATGTTTGAGTTAGATGGCATTGTAATAGAAGGATTGTCGTTGGGTCTGAGATACTTATTTGGTGTGCAATTGAGGAGAAAAGAGTAATTATTTTAGAGAGTGTTTCATGATAATTTAAGTAACAGAAAGACTATTCATATGGGAAGGAATGACTTAATATCAAATTTCTTTCTGACTCTTGCTGACTGCTGTCACTGAGCCAAATGATGATTGCTGCTGACACTGACACATCAGTAATTCCTACATTACCGTCTCAGCAGTGGTGTTTTAAATTCACACAGCATGTGCCTATGGAACTCTGTCGAGCTATCTGACCTAGAAGCCACAGATTCTGCCATGAGAAATGGAGCAAGTGTTTTGAACATTTGCTTTTGTGTATGTAGTATACATACTTAAAAAAAATCAGGCAGTGGTGGTGCATACCTTTAACCTCAGCACTTAGGAGGCAGAGGCAGGTGGATCTCTGAGTTTGAGGCCAGCCTGGTCTACAGTGTTAGGTAAGTGCTCTGCCACTGAGAAAAATTCCCAGCCCCACCCATGGTACCCTGAATAAGGAAGTATAGTATTTAAGGAGACAAATCTGGTTTCCTTTAGAAGACAGAATTCGATTTATGTTGTAAAAATTCTTTATGTTTGTATTGAACATTAGAAGAAGTCAGATGTAGCTTCTGTAAGCACGTGGAGCGCTATAATGCCAGAACATCCCCCTGTCACATAGTGGCATACTAAGGCTCCTCCCCACCCCAGGTCACACTGGTTAGAGATGGGACACACCAGACAATGTGGTGATATTAGTTAACTGAGTCATTTAGCCTTAGCCTGTGCTGCCACCAGCTGAGCACAACTCAGAGAGGGCAAGAGTGAGGTGGCCCGGGAGATGCTGAGTGGATAGTCCGAAAAGAAGCGGGCAGGCGGGGCTGGGCGAGCTGCTGAGAGGTGGGAGTAGGAGAGGAGGGCAGTGGGTGGGACAGGAACCTGGATCCATTTCTTTAGGAATTTCACACTTTAGAATGTGGTACTTGGAATTTTTTGAAATACTAGATGTGGTTTGTTTTTCATTGTTTCTTTGATACATTGTAAGTGTGTATCTGCTAAGTGCTAGGAAAGTTTTTCCTTTAAACTCTGGGAATATTTGTTGTTCATTTTTCTTGTGGTAGACTAACCATAATAGCCTGCTCTAGGGAAATTAGTGTCTGAATTGTACTGTTAACAAGATGACATCAGCTTGCTCATAGCACGTGAGGCAAAGGTCAGTAGGGACTGCCCACTCCTGTGGTTGGGCAGTGGCTGGCAGCATTGTACCTGCTTATTCAGTTTCTGTGTTCAGGCACTGCTCTAAGTATTAAGGATAAGAGGGCGAATAAGACAGGTCATAAGGCCTCCAAAACAATACAGAAAAAAAAGACAGGTCATAAGTAGAAAAAATGGATTAATTAGATGGTTAGAATTATTTAACTCCAGCAAGAACGCTGTATTACTGGTTGGAGAAAATACCTAATGTAATACGCTGGTGTTAAGATCCCATTGCTGAAGACAGCACCTGTATTGAACATGGAGATGTCGAGCTGGTGCCTACCCAGAGCCTTCATTCCTATGTTTCAGCATCTTCAAGACAGAAAGATACTCCACACATTATCAAAAGAGTAGTCAGTGTAAGTGCCAGGCTAGCCACAGTGATGTCTGGCTGCAAGAAAGGCTACGTAATGGTGGCACAAAGCTTGTGGGAGCCACCAGCCAATTGCTGATTGGACCTGAGGTTCATCCACGAGACACAGTCTCGCCCCGACACTTCTCGGGTGACTAGATAGATACTCAGGGACACAGGGAAAGCCAAGTAATACTGGCTTTTAAAAGAAGAGGGAAAAGAGGAAAAAAATTAAAAAATATATTTTGGAATTTTTGTTTCAAATTCTGGCTTTATAATTAAATACGTTCTGATGTTTTCAATTGTTACTTTAACAGCATCTGCAGAAAAAGAGGCAATTAAAGGTACATATACCAAAGTACTGGATGCATATGGACTGTTGGGAGTTTTACGATTAAATCTTGGTAAGTGTTATTCAGTGTGGCTCATCTGCTTTTCATTTCTCTTTTATAATTCTGAAGATTTCAGAGACTACCTGTGTGTTATTTCAGACAAAGTGTCTGAGCTTTAAGTGTTATACCTTTTAAACCCTAATTAAATTAACCTTTTGACATTTTTATTAACTATGAGAATTTCAGGTAATGTATTTTGATCATATTCAGCCCCCAACTCCTTCCAAATCTACCCCCACATCCCCACCCAACTACCTTTCTGTTTGTCTGTCTCTGTGTCCCTCCCTCCCCCGCCCCTCCCCTCCCCCTCCCTCTCTCAAACTTAGGAAGTCCGGTTTGTGTTGGTTAACTACTCTTGGATGTGGGATCTGCCTTGGAGTGTGGTCAGTACACCAGAGGCCACACCATTAAGGAGAATGGACTGTGCCGCCTCAGTGGCTAAGAGCACTTACTGCTCTCCCAGAATACCCATGTTTGCTTCCCAGCACCCACATAGCAGCACACAGCCATATTAACTCCAGGGTTACATGTGGTGCACATAGGTACATGCAGAGAAAACACTCCTACACACACAATACAAATAATTAGGCTAATCTTATGTTTCTTTCCTAGAATGACATGCAACAGTTTTAAGATCAAAGGACAGTGTCCTGTTGAAGCACATTAGCAGAACAATGTGTCTTTTTCTTCTTTCAGCACATTAAGGAATAGGTGTCTGTGTGGGAAACACACTGATTGCCCTAGTATATTGTTTTAGGTGCAGAAATGTCTGCTATTTAATGTTCTTTTGTAACTTAAAATCATTGTTTTTATGTGAGCAAGTATTGATGATGTCATGTATGCCTGTGAACGATGTTCACGTAGCCTGCTAAATCAAAAACAGGGTGTCAGATTCCCTAGACCTGGAGTTCAGACAGTTGGCTGTGAACCACACCATGTGGGTGCTAGGAATCGAACTTGGGTCCTCTGGAAGATCTTAACTACCGAGTCATCTCTCCAGCCCTTACTTGGTATTAACCATGATCTTCAGGATAACTTTTAGAATGAGCAGTTTGTCTATAAAGATATGCCTTGAGGTGTGGTCCAGAGACCTGATCCATGCTTTTACTGGTCTTTGTGAGAGAGTAAGCTTGAACTATCATGCACATCCAGCACATGGCTTTCTTCCTCGATGAAGTCTAACCCTGAAACGAAAGGAAAGGAAAGGAAACTAGAGGGTGGATTTGGCTATATAGTAGATTTATTATGATTCAGGCACCTGTGTTACTGTGCGCTGCCAAGAGCTGGTGGACTATAAAATGGAGATTTATCATTGTGCAGGATTGTTTGTTATCGTTGTCTAAAGTAATCATGAGATAAATGTTTTCATCTCCTTTCATAAGTGATTATATCATAGGTTGGTCATGCTAACATACTAAGTTTTGTCTGGATAATAGTAAGTAGCCCTGATTCAGAGCTATTTCTGCTTGTGTCAGTACCTGTGCCATGGACTCTAATATCATAAGATTTTTGTTGTAATAACAAGAAAAAATTTTTAAATCCCTGTTGTTCAGGAGCTGGGATCACAGTGTGAACCCCAGTACCATCCCCTTTGCTGTAAAAAGAAACGTCAGGAAGTCTGAAAGTTCTCATGAACCAGATTGCTTTGTAAATTGTCACGAAGGCCTTGTTCTCATGTGCTGCCATCTTTAGCTCTCAGATTTATATGCCACTTTAAATTATACCTTCTACAAAGATACTGGACATTGACTATCTTATCCTAGCTTCCTGTCCATGGTAAGGTTTTGATGAGTTTTGTAGCCTCAGATTGTATGGAAATAACTTTGTAAATGTGACATTATCTTATTAATGGTTTAGTACTTGACATACTGAGTGTATTTATAGGAGCATATTTTTTTCCCTGAAAAATATCTCTAGTTGTAAATTTAATCATGCTCAGGGTAAGTTTAGGATAATCACAATTGTCAGACATGGTGATACACATCTCTAATCCCTGCATTCGGTAGGCTGAGGCAAAACAAAACTTACAATGTAAGATTTTAAAGATGAAAACACAAGAAGAAGTCAGAAGAAACTATAGAGATTGAAAATGTTGGTGTTCTATCCCATAAAATGTTTGGTTTTTACAGGTGATACCATGTTACATTATCTGGTCCTAGTTACTGGATGTATGTCTGTTGGGAGAATTCAGGAATCTGAAGTTTTCCGAGTTATTTCCACTGAGTTTATATCACTCCGAGTTGATGCTTCAGATGAGGACCGCATTTCAGAAGTCCGAAAGGTTCTGAACTCGGGAAACTTCTATTTTGCGTGGTCTGCGTCTGGAGTCAGCTTGGATCTGAGTCTGAATGCACATCGCAGCGTGCAAGAGCACACAACGGACAACAGATTCTTCTGGTGAGTTTTGTCCTCTTCTTCTGTAATTATGCACTGGGTGATAGCGCAGAAATTGCAAACAGTGGCTGTCTTTGGAGAAAGCAAAGGATGGACGTGGTTGATTGAGTGGGCACTTTTTTTTTAAAGATAATTTCTTTTTTTTAATTTTTAAAAAATTTTTATTTTATTTATTGTGTATACAGTCTTTTCCTGCATGCCAGCAGAGGGCACCCGATTTTATTCAAGGTGGTTGTGATCCACCATGTGGTTGCCGGGAATTGAACTCAGGACCTCTGGTAAAACAGTCAGTGTTCTTAACCGCTGAGCCGTCTCTCCAGCCTGAGTGGGCACTTTTTTCCTGCCCTGAGTCCACAACAGAGTATGGCAATAGTAGACGTACAGAGAAAAACTTTCCCAACACATTGGAAATCCAAGCAGGGGCCATTGTGTTGCAAAGTTTAATTAGTAGGACTAATCCTTTCTTTTTTCTTTTTTTTAAATTAAAGGTGGAGATCAGGACATGTTTATATCACAACCTGAGGGGGTTTGGTTTGTCCAGTGGTTGATAGGTTGAACTTGTGTTTTGCTAAAGATTGAAATACTTGAGTTTAGTTTTATCTAGAAAAATGGAAGTTTTTAAAATTCACATCCTTGTAGCTTTGTCCTTTTTTTTTTAAAGATATAGTAAGCTTTGTAGCCAGACTGTGAAATAACTCTCAAAAATTATAGTTTTGTTCCATTGGAGATTTTAAGTAGCACTGCTACTACTCAAGACTTGGCATGAATGTACATAGACTAACCCAGCAATGCGTCCACAATAAAGGACAGTGTGAGCTGACAGCGTAACAAGAGCTCTACCTGCTGCACAAAACCTCAGACCCAAGCTCCATTCAAATGCGGACATCACATGTCTGCTGCATGACATAGCCCTCTACTGTACTCTTTGGACATATTGTGTTGCAATCTGTTGAGGTTTGCCTCAGGCCAGGGTAAATAACAGTAAAGTATGAGACCATGAGTCATGGTGGCAGCTGGGTGAGTGATGGCCGTTGGATCTCACATGACCCCAGGGGTCTCATCACTCAGTTGCATTGCATGTGCTTTGTGACTAGGTAAGAGGGTTAGGATGGTGGGTGGGTCTGCTGGGACTGTGCATGGCCACCCCGCAGTGGGTCTGCAGCCGCCTGTTACCTGCAGGGCAGAGAGTCGAAGACTCACGCACTTAGCAGCTTTGCTCCTTGTTTCTGTTGTTAATGACCCTGGGTGTCCAAGGGGGCACTGTTACATCTCTGTTTCCTTTTTGTTAAGATACCAGGGTAGTGAAGAACACTTGAAGCCCACTGGGAATGGTCAAAGTCTTAAACAATAATACTGAAAAGTAACTTTTGAACTGATGGAGTCATTTGCCAAATGGCATGTTTTTTAGTAGGTTTGCAAGAAGATTCCACAGAGTCTTCCGAGTGTTCTGAGGAAGACTAAGGTTCCAGTGTAGACCCTGAAGAGTAGTCAGCAGGGTGAGGAAACTGTGTGCTCCCCTGCTCACAATTTGGTCATTGCGACTCTCAGTACCTTTATCTTTTGTTTCTTCATCGTTGGTCTGTGTGTTTGCTTGAATAAAATATTTTTCCTTCAAGTTTGTAAGCCAGGCCCTGTCAGATATCTACAGTACTACAGTACTTAGGCAAACCCATGGGTATACTTAGTGATAAAGCACTTACCTACAATGAGTGAAGCCCTGGATTCCGTGACCAAAACTGAAAAAAAAAATTTTGGAGACGTAGACAGCACTATGCCGTATATTGTGTGCTGCATAGCCACTGGCTATGCTGGCTCTTTAAACTTACATAAGTCTTATATGTAAATCTCTTTAAGGTAGGATGTGTTTGTATAACCCCTTTTAGAACAAATTAAGTTATGTGCATGCTCCCTGAAGGTAGACTAGAAATGTTTTAAAAATACTAAAACCACAAGTTTTTAGTACAATAGGTCACTTGATTAAGAATCTGCATTTCATTTTATAGCCTTGGCTTTAGTGTAGCAAATGTAAATAAAATGCAGTACTTCAGAAGCCTTTTAATAATACTGCATTCATGTTTTAAAATGTTTTCTTTTTCCCTTAGGAATCAGTCTTTGCACTTGCATCTCAAGCACTACGGTGTGAATTGTGATGACTGGTTATTACGCCTCATGTGTGGAGGAGTAGAAATCAGAACGATTTATGCTGCCCATAAACAGGCAAAGGCTTGCCTCATCTCAAGACTAAGCTGTGAACGAGCAGGGACAAGGTTTAATGTCCGAGGAACAAATGATGATGGTCATGTTGCCAATTTTGTAGAAACAGAGCAGGTACATATTTGTTACTACATGTTGTGAGAGAGATACAGGAAATACTAGAGTAATAGACTTGTGAGAGACACATGGGAAATACTAGCATAACAGACTTGTGAGAGAGATGCAGGAAATACTAGGTAATAGTTTTACCTGAAGGCAAATATATTTTGGCATGTATAATGTTGATATTCGTGGCTACTTATTGGCCTGAAGAAAGGCGTCCCTAGAACAAACAAACAGTTATGTAATACTAATTAAGTAATGTGATAGAGTCAGTGCTATACATTTGACAATGAATTTTAAAATCTTCAATTATAGATGGCTTCATAATATATTTTATAAGCCCCAACTCTTAATGACAGATATGCACTACCTAAAATTTTCAAGTTATAACATTTGGCTATGAAACTATGTAATTATAAAATTTCAGGCTGTAAGACAGCCCAACTCAACTCTTCAAATTAGGTTTTAGAAACTATAGAAAACTGAGGAGCAAACTAAAGGAGACTGTTTTCTTGGTGGGTCCTGTCATCAGTGAAACCTAGCGCCCCGTGTGTGGTGACTTGGACAGGACAGTCTGCACATGAGCAGTCACCTCAGCTTGGGCGGCAGCTCTCAGCAGCCGCTTTCCTAACACAGAGCTAACAGGCTTTCCCCTTGGGTCTCTCTTTTTTGCAGGTCATATACTTAGATGACTGTGTTTCCTCCTTCATACAAATCCGTGGATCTGTCCCACTCTTCTGGGAGCAGCCGGGCTTGCAAGTATGTCTGACATCCAGTTTGCTTGTTTGGTTTCCCTCTTGGGAGATTTCCATATTGTCCAAATTTCCCACATCGTTCTTCAGTCTTATTGGTCAGTCTGTTGTGTAATACTAGAGTCTCATCTTAGACAGCTTCCCTTCGGTTCTGTTGCTTTTATATTATTACAGTGACTCACTGTAGTTATCCAAATTTTATAAAGAAAAGTTTTATTTTGGTTCATAATTTTAGAGGTTGGAAATCAAGATTGGACAGGCACATGGGTTTGGCAACTGGGGTAGCAGTGTGACACTGGGTGACATTAGCGTGGGGGTTTATGTGGAAGGAAGAGAACACGTCTTTAAACAGAAGCCTAAGAAAGAGCGAGATGTGTTCAGCTCAGGCTTCCGTAACTACTTGGATTTCTTAAGAGTACCCAACAGGAAACCAGCAGTCCCTCCACAGGGTGACTCTCCCAGTAATCTAAGGACTCCCACAAGGCTGCAGATCCACAGTTCCACACCATCACTAACACTGCCACCAACGGTACCAAACTGCCATAGCATAATGCTTAACGGACAGACCATTTTCAAACCATGTAACGTAGCTGTAGCAACTCAGGAGCCTGTCTGGTTGTTAAATTTCAAGGATTTTTTTTTAAAGTGTTTTCATTATTTTAGTGTAAAATAACTTAAAACAACAACAAAAACAACCTGTTCCCAGACTTTATTTACACCCTTATTGTACCGTTACTAGACAGGTGATCTGGGACAAGTGATTGAATTCCTCTTTGTGTCTTAGTCTTCTCATCTGTAGAATGAGAATGTAGTGTCTCCCTCATGGGTTGTTAGGAGGACTGAATGAAAACCACTTGAAACAGTGCCTGGCACAGAGCCACACATCAGGGTAGCCATTCCTGACTTTAGTGACACTGTGTGACTGACCTTTGGCTTTGCAATCTGTGATGTCCTATGATCTTGAGGATATTCCTGATAATTTCTAATTTTATTTGTAAAAATGTCATTGCTTCATCCTTACAAAATGTTTTTAAAATATAAGGTTATGATATTATTTCCAGAAGTATAATCTTACATTAGCTGTGGTGATAAGTGCTGAGGCCCTAAAGTGCTGTTTTGTAGGCCTCTAGTATGGGTAATCTGGTAGAGTATGTCTCAGTTAGTGTTGTGAAACAATACAGAAAAAGAAGTCTTGCTTCCCCTTTTGCTGCTAGATCTTTCTTACGTTCTCAGTGGGGTCGCTGTGGGGAGAAACTGGGGGCCTCTGAATTTTTTCAGTGTTATGGTCTATTTAAGGCAGGTCAGTGACTAACAAGAGGATGAATACTTGTGCTTATAAAATTCTTAGTTCTTGTCAAGACTGGTCAGATTGGTGTGGGCTCTTTTTGGAGGGCATTGGTTTTTTTTGTTTTTGTTTTTTTTGTTTCTGAGTTAGTGTGGTACTGGCTGGCCTGGATCTCTGTATGTAGTCTAAGCTGGTTTGGAACTCAACAGAGATCCACCTACCTCTGCCTCCCAGGTGAATACTTCTTGTTTTAGGCACAGGGCAGCTTGACTCTGAGAAAAACCTGACCCAGCCTCACTTTCTTAAGCTTTTGTGATCTTTGCTGGGGAGTCAGAGTATTTGCTTTAACAACAACGTTGAGCTGGGCGTTGGTTGCACACGCCTTTAATCCCAGCACTGGGGAGGCAGAGGTCGGCAGATCTCTGTGAGTTAGAGACCAGCCTGGTCTACAGTTCGAGTTCCAGAACAGCCTCCAAAACAATGCAGAGAAACCCTGTCTCAAAAAACAAAAACAAGCAAACAAGAAAAACAGCCTTACAGGGGCTGGTGAGATGGCTTACTGGTTAAGAGCTCTGGTGGTTGTTGCAGAGGCCCTGGGTTCAATTCCCAGAACCCACATGACAGCCCACAACTGTCTATAACTCCATTTCCAGGTGACCCAACACCCTCACACAGACACACATGCAGGCAAAATACCAATGCACATGCAATAAAAATCAGGAGAAAAAGAAAGGACAGCCCTGACCCCAGCCTGATGCAAAGTGAAGCTCGTGTGTGGGGACAGGCTGAAGAGGCTGCAGTAGTTGCTTTGCTGGCCTGCGTTGGACTCATTCTGTGCCGCTTTACCATGGATTCCCAGTCACAGGAACTTGGTACGCTTGGGTCCAGAATGGCTAGCTCCATTAAAGGGTCCTCCTTGGATTGGACTTCCCTTCATCCGCTTCCTGTGTGTCCTCACCACGGGGAATTTTGCAGGCTAATGTTCTCTAGCTATAGGCTGAAAACTCAGGTGTTGTAAGCCATTCTCATTTCTTCATAAAGATAGTCTAAGAAGTCTACCAAATCATCACTTAGCTGGTCTGTTGTCCACCCGTCAGGAGAGGGGGTGCCCGAGTCTGTGTTTTACAGTTATTTAGTTAATAGTTTCTAAAAATCAACCTTCCTTTGCATAAGAGTAGATTGATCTTTGCTTTTGTTTTGAGAAAGGGTCTTGCAATGGAGGCCTTGCTATATACCCAGGCTGACCTGAGAATGGGTTCGTCTGTCCTTCCTTCCTTCCTTCCTTCCTTCCTTCCTTCCTTCCTTCCTTCCTTCCTTCCTTCCTGCTTCCTTTTTTTTTTTTTTTTTCTTCTTTTTGAAACAGTGTTCCTCTACATGACTGTCATGGAACTCTGTAGACCAGGCTGGCCTTGAACTCACAGAGATCCACCTGCCTCTGCCTCCTAAGTGCTAGAATTAAAGGCATGAGTCACTACTGCCTTGTGAGAATGGATTTTTTATGTGAATATGTTTTGTACTAAAAAATTTCCTCCACTGTTGTAAAACTGGTAATAAAGGAATGAAAATACTTATTTTTAAGAATGTATAAAAGTAGGTAATTGATTTTCAAAAATAAAAATACCGTGTCAAGGATTAACTATTCTGTGGAACCAAACTAGGACTCTTGCTCTAGGAGTGTTGTGAATAGTTGTTACATGTTTCAAGTATTCTCAGGACAACCATTTATTTTAGGACCCAATTTGTTCATTTGTTTATGGTAATTTGCTATCTAGAATTTGGTCTGTTGCTTGCAGTGTTCTTGTCTTATCTCCTGAGCACTGGGTTTACAATGCTAGTACTGTTAATTGAACAAGCATAGCAGAATTTATGTTCTGTTTGTCTTGTTTCCTTGTCAGACTACATAATGATACAGCAGCTCTCTTCCTTGACTCTCTTTAACAAGTCACTTTGTTCATACATTAGCAGGAAAGAGTTCCAGCCTCAGAGAAATGCTCACAAGCAAATGTCTGTCATATGTTAGGTCTTTCCAGTCCCCCCTCTCGCCTGTCTGAAAAAAAGAAATATAAGCCATGCTAGATAGGTAATCCCATCTTGTTTTTTTCTCCTAGCATAACATTTTTGTTTTGGTTTTGTTTTGATTTTTGGTTTTTCCAGACAGGGTTTCTCTGTGGCTTTGGAGGGTGTCCTGGAACTCGCTCTCTAGACCAGGCTGGCCTCGAACTTACAGAGATCCACCTGCCTCTGCCTCTGCCTCCCGGGTGCTGGGATTAAAGGTGTGCACCACCACTGCCTGGCTAGCACAACATTTTTAATTCTGCAAACTGTGCTATTACTATGGGCAGTGAGGTCAGCTGGAGGATGTGACTGTAGGAAGGACTGACTTGGTTTGTGCATCATGCGAATCCAGATCCCCTCTCTGAGACTGCAGCTGCAGGCACTGGGGAGCCAGCAGTCAGGGGCACTAGGAGCTGAGCGCAGGACCTGTGGAAGCACTGAGCTCGCTCCAGCTCTGGGAAGGAAGGATTTACTTTGGCTTGGTTTGACTTTTAGTGCCTTTGGAGTCTTTACCATAATAGAGAAAAAAGACATGTGAGCATTGTAGTAGTACGGCTGCTTGGGAAAGCAGAAATTTTGGTCAGGAAAAATAAATATCTCATCTGAATACCTTTTTTAAAATTAGTTGCATATCTATGAACTGAAACAGGGTATATTTTTGTTTGAAATAGGACAGACAATGTGTTTGAAAGCACTCAAAAATCCTCTCCTTCAAAAAGTTGCTCTTAATGAGTGTTTCTTAGTGGGCGTAGCTTGTTCTTTCTTCCCTTCCTTGTCATTTACAGCTTGTGTGACACTAGAGTTGTGTCACTACTCCTTTATACGTTACTTAACTGTGCACTGCGTGTCCTGACCATTTGAGAAGTAGGGCACATTAAAGAAGTCTTTGTAAAGATCATTCCTTTTCAATATTGTTTCAAGTTTGCTTCATACGTGATTAACTTAACTACCAAATCATAAAGGTATGAATTCTAAGGGCCTAAAAGTATATACGATTTTAGCTTTTGAACAAAGTACTCCATTTGATTTGATAAATTACTTGCATGGTTTGTGATGTCAATCAATGCTTATCACAGAATTCTTCCTGTCTCCCAGGTTCTTTGCCTTCTGTTTTCCTTGATAAAATGCCCTTCATTTCAGAAGTCAGACTGTTGGACTGGAGAGACTGTCTAGAGGTTAAGAGCACTTCCTATTGTAGAGGACCCAACACCCACTTGGTGGTTCTGCCTCTCACTCCAGTTCCTGGGTGTGATGCTCGCTCCTGACCTCATGCACATGCTGCACATACATGCACACCGTTGCTCTCTCTCTCTCTCTCTCTCTCTCTCTCTCTCTCTCTCTCTCTCTCTCTCTCTCTCTCTCTCTCTCTCTCTCTCTCTCTCTCTCAGACACACACACATAAAACATGTAATGATTCTAAAACATGTAATGATTCTTTGGACCAGCAAGATAGCTTAGCAGGTAATGATGCTTGCTGTACAGCCTGAAGGCCTGAAGTCTAAGCTCGCAGAACCCACATAGGGATAGAAGGAGGAAACCAACTTCACAGTTCCTCTGACTCCATCCATGGACTGTGGCATGGGTTGTGTTGTTCCCCCACATACATCATTCACACACACACATGATAATGGCAGAAAGTTATTTCAGGAAGCTAAAATTCTCAGACATGTTTCACTAATGTATGAAATCTTTAATGACTGGAAATCTTTACTCCCACAGAAAATATTGTGTGTCTGCTGAAACACACTACCTATCCAGTGATTAAATAATGTCTCAAGATTTGTTAAGTAAATCATCTTTGTTACTTTTTGTTAGTTATTTTGGTTTTATTATTTATTAGCATTGTTTTTGTTTCTATTTTAGTGAGACAGGGTCTCTTTACATAGTCCTAGCTGTCCTAGAACTCACTATGTAGACCAGGCTAGCCTCAAACTCACAGAGATCTGTCTGCCTCTGCTTCTCAAGAACTAGAATCAAAAGTGTGCCTTGTGCACACCTATTTTGTAGCCCTGGACCAGATCTTGTTGTGTAGACTAGTCTATTCTTGAATCCAATGGCATTCTTCCTGTCTCTGGGTCCAGACTGCTGGAATTGACAGGGGTACCACTATGCCCAGCTTCCTGTTATGTCATAGAAATAAAAGGAATTTTGCATGTTGGCTGTTTCAGTTTATGTATTTTTCTTTTTATCTTTATTAGGCCTTATAAGTTAGAAAACTTAGAAAAACCTCTGCTAATATGATAAATTTCAATGGTTCACACAACAAAGAATAGCCAAGCTCTGATAATATTTTTTAGATTTAAGTTTATTTTTCAGTCAGTAGAGTGTTGGTATTATGTGTCAGCACGCATGGCCATTGTTCTTTTTACATGAGTTTCATCTTAAAAGTAGGAGTAGGGAACCCCTAGAACTCTAAACGAATTATCATGAGTGGAGCCCAGGCCTTTTGGTACTGTGCTCACTAGATGAATCACTTGGATTGCAGTGGTGATGTTTCTTTTGTCCTGATAGTGGTTCGGGTAGTGATTAAATCTTTTTCTTGCCTAAGGTGGGATCCCATCGTGTCCGGATGTCGAGGGGATTTGAAGCGAATGCGCCTGCTTTTGACAGGTAGAAATGATGATACTTGTGTAGGACTATAATGAGGCTCATGCTATATCTGCTTTGTGTGGTGTTGCTGTATATAGTAGAACCTTTTTATTATCTTTTCTTTCTTTCTTTTTTCTTGAGATGGGGTTTTTCTGTAGCTTTGGAGGCTGTCCTGGAACTTGCTCCATAGACCAGGCTGGCCTCAAACTCACAGAAATCCACCTGCCTCTGCCTCCCAAGTGCTAGGATTAAAGGCATTTTTTTATTCTCAAGGATACACAGATGTGCATTACTGCACCCCCTTACACTGAAGTGTTTCTTGAACATACATAAATATGTTAAAGTTTAATATGTAGATTAGACACAATGTGAGAGATTAATAAGAACTAATCATATTATATGCATTTATGAAATTGTCAATAAATAAAAACTAAAAAAGAGAATTATAGCAGTATACGATACTAAAATGAATGCACCATGTAGCCCTATCTGGAAAGATTAAGTGCAGATGTTAGCATTTTTGGATCCTGATTGAGCTCAAGGTAACAAACTGTGGGAAGCAAAGCCACAGATAAAGGCAACTGTCAAAGGCCAGAGCTAGTCAGGCAGCCCTATAAATATTCCTCAAGTGTGTGGTCATCAGAAGGGTCTGCTGGCTGTGTCTTGCCGTGACTGTTGTCAGATGCACAATGGGAAGACTGACCAGCTCCAGGGTTCTAGCCAAGATCAGAGTCTTGGCATCCATAAGTCAGAGGGGAAATTGTACTTACTGAATTTCACAAATTCAGGGGTTTGAAGACATATAGAATAATAGATTTAGAAAATTTTATCAGTTTCTTGTTTACTGGACGAAAGGCTGTAATTTTGCTATGCTGTTTCTTGTCTTTTGTCAATAGGCATTTCCGTACACTTAAGGATTTATATGGTAAACAAATAGTAGTAAACTTGCTTGGATCTAAGGAAGGTGAACATATGCTAAGTAAGGCTTTCCAGGTGAGTGTGGCTGCCTTATCTTCTGTTCTGGCCCATGGTTACCTAGAATGGAAATAAAAATAAGTGATCAGACTCCACCACAAGAGAAGCACTCCTAGACAAAAGTTAGGTACAGTGATGTCTTCAACTCTCCGAGGCTGTCAGAAAATAGCATGAGCAAAATGCTTAATCAATCAATGACGGATCAATGTAAATTTTGTTATAGAAGATGTAGAATAACTAGAAACCATTTCCTAAGGTTTAAATTAGGAAGTCTGGTTAAGTGGGAAGATGGCCCAATTTGCTATTTTTTAAGATTGGGAGAAGATTAATGTTAACTAAACATTGTGTTTCTGAGAGTGATATTTTAACTGTAAATTTAGAAATATACATATGCATTGAATGAAGGCATAAAAGATGAGTCTTTTAGTCTCTGATTAGACTTTGTGTTACAAATTAAGCTGCTTTATTTTAGATTCTGTAATAGGTAAAAGTATTTACTAAATTTGTATCCTAACAATAAAACACTGGTGATTGGAAACTATTACATTTTCTAAACCAAACTGAAGTCTTAGGTTAATTATGCCACTCAGTCTCTCAAGGATAGTATATGGGATTTTAGACAGTAATTGCCATTAGGTATCAAACAATAATTGTCCCTTTTGCTTCCAGTGTTGAACGCTTTTGGGGCTTGGTAAAATTGCAGCTTGGAGAGCAAGTGTGCGCCTGCGGTGCTGCAGGACAGGCCATGTAGCTAACCCACACGAGTGTTTGCCCTTTCACTTTCAGAGCCACCTGAAAGCTTCTGAGCATGCTGCTGATGTCCACATGGTGTCTTTTGACTACCATCAAATGGTTAAAGGAGGGAAGGCAGAAAAATTACACAGTGTCCTCAAACCTCAAGTCCAGAAGTTTCTAGATTATGGATTTTTTTATTTCGATGGCAGTGAAGTTCAAAGGTTTGATGGTTCTATTGCTCTTTTCTTTAAATTGGAATTTTGCTATAACTTAAAAATCATTCTCAACATTAAACTTTAACATTTTCTTTTTATATTGAAGTTTACAATTTTAAGTGTTTTTAATAATTTGTTACGCTTGTTTTTTTTTCCTAAATTTCAACAAATAATAATAAGTTACATTATCTAGGACATACTGTGTGTGTGCCTTTGCATCAGTAACGGTCGGGGGATAGGATCTATGACTGTTCCTTTTGCATTTGAGGAAAGTAAGGCATGGGCATGCTCCAGGTCACGTAATTGGACACATGAGAGCTGCTGTTCACCTGGCTTCTAGACTCCATGCTGTCGGTAAAGCTGAAGTTCTAGCAGCTCTTCACCACAGTAAAGACCAGGACATGCAAAGAAAAGGAACCTGCTTATTGCCTGCATCACTGTAACTTAAACCCGTAGTTTTTGCATATGGAACAAGAAAAAAATAAATGAAAAGGTTTGAGTTCAGATTATAAATTGAAGTTAACTTATGAACAAAGCTCAAAGTTACTGACTTGTTATTGTTGTTTTATAAATAAGCATTCCCAAAATTCTTACTGTTTTGTAGAAAGAGCTATAGGATTATAACCCTGGATGTATATTTGGCTGCTAACTACAGGCCTAATAAAAATGAATCTCTAGTAGATAAGTGATGAAAATGCATGACAAACACTAACAGGCGTAGAATCTAGGGGTGTGTGTGTGTGTGTAGGTGCTTTCAGTTTAATACTTTCATTATTATTTTGTGCCTATTCGGTGATGATATAAAGTTGGAACTAGAAAGGTTGTCAATTTTAATGATCTCTGTTGCTGTAGTTCATTTATGCTTTATTTGTGTTGTTAACTAGCCATGTAACTTTACTGAAATTGTTGCAGGTGCCAGAGTGGTACAGTTCGAACAAACTGCTTGGATTGTCTTGATAGAACAAACAGTGTGCAGGCGTTCCTTGGCTTAGAGGTAAAACAATCATACCTGTGCCGTATGCGTCCTGAGCACGTTCGCAAACTCGTTTCTTAGTCGCATAAAGGGGGGAAGCTAGGCCTTCTGGAGACTTTGTTTTCCACTTCTTGTCTTCCCCCTCTCAAGCCCCTCGTGATTTTACTGTTCCCTTCACTCTCCTCCTATGTTCTGATAGCTGCCACCTGCTTCCTTCTGCTGTTTCTGACACTCCTTGTAGACAGACACCTGCATGTGTATTGGAGCGACCATTGCTGTTTTGGCCTTTCTCTTGAGACAGTATGCGTGGACCTGAACTTTATGTTGACATTTTCAAGATTTTATTTTAGGATGTTGAGAATCTGTTTTTACATGTACATTCCTTCCTATAGGGTTATATTTTTGATAGTTTGTAACTCAATCCAAGTGGGCATTATGAAGTCAGTAGCTTCAAAGTCTAATTAATCAATTAGGAATCAGATGAAAATGCTGTAGCTAGCCAAAGTAAGAAATGACCAGGGTTTCCTTTAAGGTTTTTAAAAGCTTGTTTATGCACATGCCTTTAATCCCAGCACTCGGGAGGCAGAGGCAGGTGGATCTCTGTGAGTTCGAGGCCAGCCTAGTCTACAGAGAGAGTTCCAGGACAGCCTCCAAAACAATACAGAGAAACCCTGTCTCCAAAAACTAAAAAAAAAAAAAAAAAAAAAAAAACTTGTTTATTTATTAGGTTTATTTTACTGTTAATCACCAAGCTCAGTCTAGTACAGACACAGTCTCAGCTTCTCAGTAATCTGGGCACCACCAAGCTTTCCTGGGTCTCCTGGCCCACTAAGTCAGGGTCATAAGGAGGTCATGGATTCGCTTTGCATTAGGTAGGACTTAGTTTTCAAGCACTCTAAAGAGTCTCTAGTTAATGATCTTAAATTTGGCTTGTGCATTAGTTAATTAATTACAGAAACTCAGCTTCTGTCTCAAGTCAAAGTCCAGTTGTATAAAGTTCTCTGGGGCACAGATATTATATATATAAATCAATAAATTTTACTGTTCTGGCTTTTTTGAAACCTATCATTGATATTTATCTTATTTTTCTTAAAATCTGACACATGAGATGCGAAAGCAGGCAGGTGGTGATTAGATGAGTTCATATGGCTCAGGTCTGTTTGGAGCCCTGGCTTTCGGGGACTGGGCATGTTTACTGGATCTGCCCAAGCGTAGTGAAGGTCTTTTTTTTTTTTTTTACAGATTTATTTATTTGTTTATTTATTTATTTAGTATACTGTGTTCTCCCTAGAAGCCAGAAGAGGGCACCAGATTGAATTGTAGATGGTTGTGAGCCACCATGTAGTTGCTGAGAATTGAACTCAGGACCTCTGGAAGAGCAGTCAGTGCTCTTAACCTCTGAGCCATCTCTCCAGCCCGCCGTAGTGAAGTTCTTACACTTAAGTTATCAGATGTTTGTGTCCACTTGTCCTAGCTGACTCTCACTATTGGAAGTGTGATGTGAGAGTATGCCCTTCTGTCATTAACCGCTTACACAATTTGTTGCTAAATTGCAGTTAGGCAAATTAATAATGAAGTGAAATTTGTTTTTCTCACTTCTTCAAAGATTGAAAGGAGACCCTGGGGCCTATTCTATGCCCATATGAGCACAGAGTTCTAGCATAAGCCCCCTGAGTAATAAAATGAGCCTACTGAAGGCCTTTTATATAGTTCTATATTTTGTAATTATAGACAATTCTACACCTAACAGATGCGCAGGAAACAGATAGGAAGGAGTTCAGTAAAAGCGCATGAGTCAGTAACGGGAGAAGACATTGTTTCCATGCTGCTGGAGTCCATACAGATCAGTAGCTTGGGGGTGCTTTTATTGCCTTCTGGGTGGAGGGCTTGTTGCCCAAAGGCCCCTGAAATTGTGCACTTGGCTCCCCACAGTTCTGTTTTACATGCCATCAGTGTAGACTCCATCCAAGAAAAGCTGCCGTGGCTTCTTCTCTTGCTCCCCAACACTAATCACCAAGTTTCCAGAAGGCCTGGGTGAGCTCCGTACATACTTCCCTGCTCTCATGCAGACTGTGGCTGAGCTCGGTTCTCAAGGGGAGACAAGCTGGTCTGACGCAGGGGTGGCTACACAGTTAAGTGAGGGACATTACTTCTTGGATTTCCAAATTCACGTCTCTTTTGAATCTACTGAAATGATACACCTTAAAAGAAACCACAAGTTTTACCTTAAAAATTAGAATGGTGGTAAACATAGCCCAATAAAGCATTACTACTTTCAGGGTCTATATAAGTTTTGTTTAATTCCTAATAGTTGTAAAAAGTCACATTACAGTGAATATACGTTTAAGTACTTTATTTGTGTATAAGTATATTTAAATGTATATTTACCTTAAATATCATCACTTGTCCCTTCAGATGCTAACTAAACAGCTGGATGCTCTGGGCTTGGCAGAAAAGCCTCAGCTGGTGACTCGCTTCCAGGAAGTCTTCCGGTCCATGTGGTCTGTGAATGGCGACTCCATCAGTAAGATATATGCAGGCACCGGAGCCCTTGAAGGGAAGGCCAAGGTAGAGCTGTAGCTGTCATAACATAATCTTCACCTCTCTCCTCTCTAGAAAGCTTTGAATGACTTTTTAAATAATAGGTTTTCAAGTTAGCAGACATTTCTTAGGATTGCTTTCTTATGCTTTCATGTCCTCTCTGACACATCTTCCCACAGTAGTAGATTCTAATGATTAGATTCTACATAGGTAATTCTTTAGTCCTAAGGGTTAAGTGTGCTTTTGGAGATAATTCATTGCATATTTACATACATATATACATACGTACGTGTGTGTGTGTATATTGTTTTATATGGCTTAATATTGTGCATCTCTCTTTTTACATTGTTTATATTGACTTTTAAAAAAGTCCACAGTCCTGATAAAGTATCCTGTCTCTTTGACCTTTGTGTCCCCTGCACTTGACACAGTGCCTCTACTTGGGATGTATGTCACAAGTAGTGAACAGACGGACAGTCTATCTCCAATAGATGCGAGCAGCGCAATGAACCCATATTATAGGGCTTGGTAGTTAACTTGGTGCCTTCTGTCTGCTTCGGTTCCAGAAGAGAGCTGCCAATGCAGTAAAGGGTGGGGTTGGACTTAGTTACTATGCTGAGGTCCTATCAGGACTTGCAGCTGCTTGTGTTATCCTCAGATTCCCTGTTTGGTACTTGGGCCTTGTTGTGGGATTTGGGTCTATATTTGGAATGTTTTATGATTCTGTGTACTTAAATATTAGTTAACTCTTTAAGGGGCTCTGATCTTAATTTATCCAAAACCTCTACAGTTCCTCAAATTATTTCTGGATAAAGGTGAGAACACTTAGCTAGGCATGGTGGTTCATACCTATGATCCCAGCATTGGAGAGGTTGAGACAGGAGGATTGAAACAAGTTCAGTCTAGGCTGTGTATTGACTACAAGGGCTGATAAACCCAGTTTAAAACAAAACAAAACAAACCACCAAAACAGTCAACAGAAAGAGAAGACATTGGCCATTACAGGGGCCTCATTGGCAGCAGCAAGCAGCTGATGCTCTGTGAAGATCACTCATCAACTCAAGACGATGCTCAGTCCTCCTCCTCTGCCACAGGCATGGCCTCACCTGCACAGAGCCTTCGTCCATCCCTTAGGAGTGTTACAAACCCTCACTCCCTAAACACTGCTTTCTTTTGAAAAACTGAAATTGCTTGGCTTTCATTTATTCCTTTTAAGTAGCATAATTCTTGTTATTAAAATTTGATTCTCCAACTGTTGCTTTAAAATATTCCTTCTGCCTTTTGTTTCTGCTGTGACTAAGACAATATATGTACAGAAATTGCATATATTTTCAGTATTTTTATCTTTAACCTAAGGTATAGACACAAAATCTTTATATATTAATATTAAATATACTAGTCTGAATTGAGCTAAAATCTAACACCTGAACTGCTCTTTCTTTTCCTTTCTCTCGGCTCCTTTTGATTAATTGCCCGATAATGTGAATGGTGAGTGTTCTTTTTTCAATAACAATATTTTCTTTATTACATGACAAAAATATGATTCAGTGCCATATTACAATTAGTGGCATGTAAGAAAATTGGCTCCTTATTCCAAAAATAAGCCTGTAATTACTGTTATTTTTCAAAGGGATGAAAGAAAATTATACATTCCAAACCAAAGTTATTTTTGACAGTCAAAAGTCTATAGGATCAAAATAAAAACTGTCTGATAATACGCCTAAGTGAAATACCTGTTCTTTAAAAGTTATAATCAACCCTCTCAGTATTGGAATAGGTATTTATTTTTTAGATTTATATTTGTTCGGGCAACAAAATGTCTTTAGTATGTAAACTAAAATTTATGTATTTATATTTATGAGTTGTAATTGCAAATTAATTTTTTCACTAGACCTTTGATTTTAGGTTCAGTTTTGTTTTTAACTAGCATTAAATTATTGGGGAGCAACTTCACTTTTATACTGTCAAAGTACTTGGAAGGTTTTCTAGGAGTTATAAGTTCAGTGTATCTTTCTTTATTTCTACTGCTCTTCCTCATCCAGCCCATCCCCACATTTAAAAGTTAGGATGTAGAAAGGAATCATGATTCAAATAAATATATGATGAAATATTTACTGCTCAATATATTAGTAGATGGAGTTGTGGCGTTTAGTTTATTATTTTCTTTGTGCAGACTATAAGGGAATACTACATTTTAAAGTCTTTATGAAATGGATTTAAAATTGCAAATGTACAGTAAGTAAAATCAACAGTATTTTGAGCAGGGCCTATGTTTCTCTCACAACAGGCCGGGAAGTTAAAAGATGGTGCCCGTTCTGTCACCAGAACCATTCAGAACAACTTCTTCGACAGCTCCAAGCAAGAAGCCATTGATGTTCTGCTCCTAGGAAATACTCTCAACAGTGACTTAGCTGACAAAGCCCGAGCACTTCTAACCACTGGAAGTTTGCGTGGTATGCACATTTAATACTGTATTAACTCCACTTGTTTATAGTCCTAAAAAGTCCAAAAAAGTAAGTCTGAACTCACTGGTATGAGTAATTTTTAGGCTGTTATTGGTTTAAATCGTTTTGGAAGGAATTTCTGTAGATGTAGTTTTTTTGAAGTAGTATCCCATTTTTTTCTCTTGTCAAGTGTCAATGCTATGAGTGGTACTTAGCCACAAACTGACTGGGTTTTTTTCTGAACACTGTGTGTACTTTCTTCTGAAAATTGTGACTGGAGGCTATACGTGCTGATAACGATATAAGGCAGGTTTCTAGAGACTAAAGTAGTACTTGGAGCATTAATAATCAGTTATGTAGCGTGCTTTGTTGAGGACACCATTTATCTGTAACGATGCCTTAACTTCGGGTGTTATTGTTTGAAACAGTTTAAGTCATAGTAACAGTATAAAGCAGTGTTTATTATTGACCACTAACCGCTATTTTCTGTTTTTAATATTTGGCATAAATACATAGCTTTCAAACTAGCCTTTTCCCCCAAGGTAGCTTTTTACCTTTTTGTATATCCGTTATTAATGTCAAAAAAATAGAACTTTTCATACTAATGAGTACCTAAAGCAATATCATGAGGAAGTTTAGCGTTCTTTGTACATGGAATAGGTTAGACTCCTGCCCCTCCCCAGCTTTATTGCAGGTTCAATTAGATTTCTAGTTCCATTCTTTCCTCCTTAGAACTTTAGAGCACTGTGGATTTCTTTTCCTGTTAGCCCCAAACCTTCCAATGCATGCTCTCCACACAGAAAATTTCCATGGAATTCTGATCATGTCCTCTTGAGACTGGCCCTACAGGTCATTGTAGACTGTCAGATTTCATTACAAGCAGCCTCTCAGGAACAGATCACCAGGCGTGGGGGCTAGGACCTACTCAAACTTAAAAAAAAAAAAAAAAAAAAACTAAAAAGTCTGATGCTTACTAGGTCTTGGAAATTCAGGCTTCTTCCTGGCTTCTGAAAGTAGAGACTGACTGATCCATTCTGTCCCCTCTTCCCACCTGTGCCGCTCTGATGTGGAGGCATTAATAAGCAGCAGTTGAAAGTAAGCGTGTCAAAAGCGTGTCAAGGACGAGGCACAGCAGAACCTCAGTAGCTCCCCAGGCTAAGTAAGCGTCAGGTGTCTAGCTTCCTATGTACCTCACCATGTGTTCAATGCCTCTCAAAAGCAGTCGGCGCCACTGCCATGCTCGTTTCAGACTGAGGACTTGGTCCAGTGTGGTGATACGTTAGGTAATGACGTGAACATGATGCTGATTTTGCATGAGCTTATGCGTGATTTCGCTGGCAAGCAACATTAGACAAATGCAGAAAACTCCCCAACAGAGCCAGTATGGAAACAGACATATAAAACACACATAGCCATAAGCACACACCTCAAACATCTTCCCTTACACAGTTCAACATGTGTTTTGAGTCATGCCCGCCCCCATCTGATGTTTCTACTTCCTACCCATTTCCAGTAACCCTCTGTTACCATTTACAATTGCTATGTCATTCTGATGCCCGTTTCTACAAGCCAACTTCATATGTTTAAAAGAACAGTGCCTTATATTGTATAGTCACGCATTTCATAACCATTTAGCATACATAATACTATGCTGCTTTTAAATTTAGGTTCCTTTTTTCTTTGGTGGGTCACTTTTGACATTTTTATGTGTGATGCTCCGACCCCATTTTCCCCATAAGCCTTTCCAGCCACAGGACTTTGCAGTTTTCTATAGTGTAGTTGATGGCTTTAGAATGGGCTTTCTTGTTTTAGCTGAACTGATGGTACTTAACAACTGGTGAGTCCCAGAAAAAGAGTATTAGAAGTTATGTGTTCAGACATATATTTCCATGTCTTCTCTTAGTTTTTCACACACACATACACACAGTATCTGGAAGAGGAGGACCTTCACAATATGACACAGTGGACATCACTGAGTCAGTGCAGACACATGGGTTTGTATCCGTTATGGTTATTTATTGTCTTTGGTGTTGTAGCTTCATAAAACAAACTCAAGTTGTCAACATACAGGAAATGCGTTGAGGCCATCTCAGATGTTCTTCAGATGGCACACCAGGCTTTAAATGTAACTTATTGTTTTACTAATGATTCTTTGTTTTCTTCTTGATGCATCCATAGTTTCTGAACAGACATTACAGTCAGGTACAGTATAGAAAAATCAATCTATAAATAAAAGCAACCTTTTCTTTATTTTCCTAAAGCTGATATTGTGCACATATAGATATAATTTTTTTTTTTTTGGTTTTTACGAGACAGGGTTTCTCTGCATTGTTTCGGAGGCTATCGGTCCAGCCTGGCCTCGAACTCACAGAGATCCGCCTGCCTCTGCCTCCCGAGTGCTGGGATTAAAGGCGTGCGCCACCACCGCCCAGCCAGATATAATTTTATCTTCTTGATATTACAGGATAAATTATATTTTGTTTTACTCTGAATAAAAATTTAAAGTTTGCAGAAATTAAGTACTTTATTCAGGGAAGAAATGTACATGATTCTTTGTCTTTCTGCATCACAGGCATATGGCAATCAAAGATAATTCAGTTAGATTAAATTTCACTTTATATTTCCTTGAACATCATCAGTTAGCCCCTGCTCTCCATCGACTGCCGGGAGAGGTCTAACAGGACCATTTTTCATTGATAGAGGTGTCCATCTGTTTATAAACTCGGCACTCATTCTCTTACTTTGCGGATGGGCTGCATTAGAACAACAGCCATTCACTTCGAGCAGCATCAGGGTTGGTCACCACGTCAGAGCAGGGGCACTGGAAGTTCTTGTTAACACTCTCTCTTTCTCTTGCCTGTGCACTCATAGGAAGGTCATCTCTTCATTCTCTGTGGGCTGTGGTCTTGTCTTTAAGGTGAATCTGTAGCAAACAGGACAAAGCAAAAGCCTTTCCAGAAATTTAGCCGAAGATACTATCTTCTCTTCCCCTCGCTGGGATGTTTTGCCTCATTAGCGTGGACTTCCCCTTGCTAGGGTGTTTCGCCTGCCTCGTTAGCATGTGACTCCTCTGAGGAGCTATTACCTTTTTGTTTTAAAGGAAAGTGGGAGGGAGCACGGGCTCTGGGTTATGTAATGAGCATAATTTCTGTAAGGGAGTGGTGATGTTTAGAGACAGACATCTGAGGGTTTAGCAGACTCATTTCGTTAAGCACATTAAGGTGCCAAAACATGTTAAGAATAAACTAGGATTATACTTTACCTTCTTATTCTATTTATAAAGTGATTTGACCTTATTAATTCAAGCAAGATGGCAGCCTGGTTTTGTTCATGTGGTGTTCCTGTTTTGTTCTGTTCTTTAGGCTGTACAGGCACAGAGCTGAGTGGATTTTAAATGGTGTTTGCATAGTGATGATGCTTTCGGTTTAAAGTTTAGTGATATCCATAATAATAGAGAATGGTAGCTGTATTGACAGGACAGAATAAATGGTCTGCTTTTGTTATCACCCAGTCATCTCTATAAATAATCAAATCAGATTGGAAGAGGTTTAGAAATGTACACATCTGCTCTCAAGATAATGGGATGTAATGGGTCTTTCTCTGTCCTGCCAGCCATCTCCCAAGTAATGGCACAGAGACTTATTGTTAATTATGAAAATCAGGGTTAGCCCATGCTTGTTCACTAGCTCTTATAACTGAAATTAGATCATTTATATTAATCTAGTTTTACCTTGTGGCTTTGTATCCTATCTCCATACGGCCCATCTGGCTTCCTCCATGCCTCTCGCTTCTCCCAAGTGCCTGGAGTCCTTCTCTTCTTTCTCTTTCTGCCTGGAAGCCCTGCCTATACCTTCTGCCTACCTGCTGTACATTCAGATCTTCAGTAAACCAACCTCAGCAAATATCTTCCCAGTGTACAAATATCCCATAATAGTGGGGACATGATTATTATCCAAATAAATCTTGGCTTCCTTCAAGGGGCTCAGAAGTCAAAACTACATTCATGATGCTAATGTTTTACCTTTCCCAATCCCAGTTTCTCAGAATACTACTAGGTTGGGATATCATAAAATAACATAGTGAAGTGATACTACTTGATAAAATGTGAAAGATTACGTGAAAATAAGCCAGCGAGGACAGTGGTCCTTAAAGGCATAGGGCAGGGACCAGAGGAGCCTTGTTGAAGAGTGAAGAGCTGACGGAGACGAGGCCAAGGTTCAGGCTGTGGGGAGAGCAGTCTGACAGCTTTGTCATAGAAGCGAGCCTAGTTGAGTGATGAGTGAGCAGAGGGGCCAAAAACGAGGGCAGAGAGACAGAGAGCCCTGCAGGTTGCTATACACACCTGAACTCCCCTGGGTGAGGAGGGAAATATTTGGCTGTGATTTCCTGTCAGCATCTCATTTCCTTCCCTAATGCTCATTTGTGTAAGGAGCCATTGTTCACCAAGTCATCTGTCAATATTTGAATCTTAAATGGAGATGCTTTTAAGTATCTTTGCTTAGGGAGAAAGAAAATTTCTATTTTCACTATACTCTTAATAAAGTTGTCTGTAAATCAATTGCTGGATTCCTAAACAAAATGGCTTTTTGGTTTTATGTGTGCTGTTCCTCCTGCATGCTTTTATGTCACCACAGTCATTCTGTAGTAGTCTTTATGTTCTGTCTTTAATTTCATTGATTCAGTGTGGCTAATGCCTCCGGCTGGGCTTGGCATTCAAAGCTGGTTTCTTCCTTGTGCCTGCGCATGCCCTTTACTTGTGCTTGTGCCGTCTGTTAGGGAAAATCACTTTTGCAAATGGTTTACTGCAGCTAATGTTCTCTTGCTTCTTCTGTTCGATTAGCGTCTTCCAAAGTCTTAAAGAATATGTGTGAGAACTTCTACAAGTACTCAAAACCCAAGAAGATTCGCGTGTGTGTTGGAACCTGGAATGTGAATGGCGGGAAGCAGTTCCGCAGCATTGCATTTAAGAACCAGACGCTCACGGACTGGCTTCTGGATGCTCCCAAGTTAGCTGGCATCCAGGAGTTCCAAGGTTGGATTCTTACATCAGGAATTTAATTAAGTCCTGACTGCAGTGTGACACTTTACCAATTTAGAAAAGAAACTTGGGCTTCTATTGTTAGTTTGAAAGCCAACATCTTAGGTTAAGTCTGATAAAATCTTACCTCACTTTTTATTTATAGACATTTTCTACTTAGCAACAAAACAATGGTGGAGCTGGGTTTGGTAACTTATATCTATAATCTAGTTCTCCAGAGACTGAGTCAGGAGGATTGCTCTAAGTTCTAGGCAAGCCTGGACTACACAGTAAAACTTTGACTCCTAAAACAAAACGAACAAAAACAACAGTAATAGAAAAATTTGAATTTTTTTGGCCATTTGTTGCTCAGAATACCCGTATAAATAGACATCTTTGAAGGCAGCCACACATACAAGAGAAATTGCTTCTGTTTCCATTTGAATAGACAAGAGCCAAGATTATTTTGTAGTTGATCACTTGTGTTTTACTTTTCAAGCCCAGAATGTTTTGTTTTCCAGGATGGGTCATGAGCAGTTTTATAGGAGTTGTAATAACTTGGCTACAAGGACCTGGAAAGGTGGTTCAGAGAGAAAAGGGATTACTGCTCTTCCAGCCTGGGGAATCTGCACAGATGCGGTGCGCATCAGCCCCATACAGCACATAAAAAAGTAAATAAAAGAAGTGCAAGGTTGTTACTGTGCATACTCTGCCACCACGGTACTCACAACAGCCATCCAACATTATCAGAATCGGGGACTTAAGAATCAGCGCAAACGTCTTTTAAAAATGGTATATAATTACCAATATGAAGGGCCTGTGTATAGGAAATTGTATGATATACCAATTTGCCTTTTAAGTAATTTTAACCACTCGTGTCTTAACTTTTGGAATTTCCCCCAATTTTACTAAAATTGGGCCCTTTTCAGTTACATTAATCCAAGTTGGAAATAGAAATAATAATAGAATGATGAATAATAATAAAAACATGGTGATAGTTGTATTTTTCACATACTGTTCTCATAGCAGACCTGTCGCATTTAGGAAGTTTCATAGAGGAAGAGCCTAAAGCAGAGAAAGGTCCTGCAGCCGGCGTGGCCGAGGCAGGCGCTGAGAGCTCTGTCATTTGTATTCCAGCATCTGTTACGAGCTCCAGCCTCCTGTCTGTAAACAAAGCGCAAGAACTCTGTTTTACCACGTGTTGTGTGATGACGAGAAGACGAGGGTTTGAGTCTTGAACATAATCCCAGCCAGTAAACACTTCCCAGTCCTCAGTCAGTGTGAGAGTGATCCCTTTAACCGCAGGTGTGACTCACTCTTCCTCTGAGGGTGACCGTTCCTGTTCTCACCGGTGCACATCTGCAGCTGTTTTTAAGTGATTTTAGTAGTTCCTAAGGATCTTCAGAGGAATCTTAAACAGACTTAAGATATTTTAATAGAAAGTAAATTTAAAGTAATATAGATCACTGAAGTTTTACTTTTAATATATATTTGGTTAAATTGAAAACACAAATTTCTTTATGTGATCTGAGGTTATGTTTTATTGGGTGAGGTTGCCATTTGACGAATGCTATATTTAAAGATATTTTTGGATGCTTAATTATAGATAAAAGAAGTAAACCAACTGATATATTTGCAATTGGCTTTGAAGAAATGGTGGAATTGAATGCTGGAAACATTGTGAATGCAAGGTAAGCTAGCTTGATAACAGCATTGGAAGACAGGTAATGAGTTGTCACTACAGTGTTGATATTGAGGAAATATGTAGAAAGGACCTTTTAAACTGTAAATAGTATGAGTATCTTTCTAAACTTAAACTAATACTATATTAGAAATTAAGACTGAAAATTATAGATGTTTATTTAAAAATAATAGGAACAAGCAAGATGGCTTTTCTCCAAACCTGATAACCTGAGTTTGATCCTTGGGACCAATATAAAAAGTAGAAGGAGGGCTGGAGAGATGGCTCAGAGGTTAAGAGCACTGACTGTTCTTCCGGAGGTCCTGAGTTCAATTCCCGGCAACCACATGGTGGCTCACAACCACCTTGAATGAGATCTGGTGCCCTTTGCTGGCATGCAGGCAGAAGACTGTATACACAATAAATAAATAAAATATTTAAAAAAAAAAGTAGAAGGAGAGACCAGCTCTATAAAGTTGTCTTGTGACCCCCATGTGTGCACCAGAGCATGTGTGCATGCCTGTGCACGTGCACATGCAAAGAAATAACTTAATAAGTTATTAAGTGAGAACAGTAATAACAGAGACCCTTTACGATTAACATAAATGTCTTTGTTTTCTTCTTTCTTAACATTTCTAAATCTGAAGTCTATAGTAATCATGGCAGTGTTTTATGGTTTTTGCTAATTGCTTAATGTCCGCATCAAGTTAGTTGGATTATTATTACATATACTTCATGTATTTTCGTATTGTGCTGCAGTGTTGTTTTGAGTGAAGTATGTGAAGAAAAACCTTGTGTATATAGTTGGAAAAAACACTTTAATACACCAAAACTCAACAAGTGGTGGTACCTTTTAAAGATTAACTGGCAATCTGAAACCTTGTTGTGAACTTTAAAAAAAGATTTTTGTATGTGTGTGAGTGTTTTGCTTGCATGTAGGTAAGTGTCCCACATATAGGCACTGCCTTCTGCCTGCAAGAGGTCAGAAGAAGGCGTCAGATTCTCATAAAACTGGAGTTAGAGATGGTTGCGAGCCACCCTGTGGGTGCTGGGAACTGCATGTGGGTGCCTTGCTAGAGCAGCCAGTGCTCTTACCCGTGAGCCACCACTCCGGCACTGGTGAGTAAGCTTCTTAACCATGAGCCACCGCTCCGGCACTGGTGAGTGAGCTTCCTGTGCTGTCACTGCACTGGCACCTGCAGGTCTTTTACCCTGGTGGGATCTTACAATACTGTGTCCTGGTCAGTTAGAAAAGTGCACTGACTTTGTAGGTCTTCCGGTTCAGTGTGAATGTACTGTTTTGGTTGGAATCATCAAAATCTTTAAATATTGGGAAATTGCAAAGATAACAGTAGCTAATATAGATTGTACAAAATTCTAGCTTTTGCTTGAAAATATAAGCCAAAAAAATTGCTCAACAAGTAAAGTTATTTCCTACCAAGCCTGATAACCCTAGTTTGATCCTTGGAACCTACATGGTAGAATTTAACAGCAGCTCCTCAAGTTGTCTTCTTTACACACACATATACAGACACACACACATACACACACACACACACACACACACACACACTGCACCTATGTAAACAAATAACTTTTGTTATTTGTGTATAACTTCTTTTTTTTTTAAAGATTTTATTTATTTATTGTGAATACAACATCCTGCCTCTATGTATATCTGCACGCCAGAAGAGGATACCAGATCTCATTAGGGATGGTTGTGAGCCACCATGTGGTTGCTGGGAATTGAACTCAGGACCTCTGGAAGAGCAGTCAGTGCTCTTAGCCTCTGAGCCATCTCTCCAGCCCCTTGTGTATAACTTCTATATCCATTTGTGCACTAGGGATAAATACTGGTTCCACTGTTAGAGGTCTTATAGATTTCCCAGGCCTCCTAACTGGCACCCACATTCAGAGGACTTGATTCGGTCCAATGCTGGTTCCCCAATTTTACGACTAGGATCTCCATGCTCTCACTAGGTCAAGATGGTTATTTCCAATTACATCCATTTACCTTCAAATTTCAAGATTCCATTTTTTCCCCACTGAGTAATACTTCATTGTGTAAATTTTCTTTATCCATTCTTCAGTTGAGGAGCATCTAAGTTGCTTCCAGATTCTGGCTTTTACTAATAATGCAAATGAACATAGTTGAACATATGTCCTTGTTATATGAATGTGCATCCTTTTGGTATATGCCCAAGAGTGGAATTGCTGGATCTTGAGGTAGGCTGATTCCCATTTTCCTGAGAAACCGCCATACTGATTTCCAAAGTGGCTGCACAAGTTTGCACTCCACCAGCAAACAAAAAAGGCAGCATAGCCAAAACAACCCTGTATAGTAAAGGAACTTCCAGAGGCGTCACCATCCCTGACTTCAAGCTCTACTATAGAGGTATAGTCCTGAAAACAGCTTGGTATTGGCACAAAAACAGTCTGGTAGACCAATGGAATCGATATTAACCTACACCTATGAACACTGATTTTTTGACAAAGAAGCCAAAATTATACAGTAGAAAAAAGAAAGCATCTTCAACAAATGGTGCTGGCGCTGACATGTAGAAGATTGCAGATAGATCCGTATTTAACACCATGCACAAAACTTAAGTCCAAATGTATCAAAGACCTCAACGTAAATCCAGCCACACTGAACCTCTTAGAAGAGAAAGTGGGAGATACCCTTGAAGGAATTGGTACAGGAGACAACTTCCTGAACATACCACCAGTAGCACAGACACTGAGATCAACAACTAATAAATGGGACCTCCTGAAACTGGGAAGCTTCTGTAAGGCAAAGGACACAGTCAACAAGGCAAAATGGCGGCCCACAGAATAGGAAAAGATCTTCACCAACCCCAAATCTCAGCTGATTTCCAAAATATGCAAAGAACTCAAGAAGCTAGTCATCAAAACACCAAACAATCCAATTAAAAAGTGGGCTACAGAACTAAATAGAGAATTCTCAATAGAGGAATCTAAAATGGCTGAAAGACACTTAAGAAAGTACTTAACATCCTTAGCCATCAGGGAAATGCAAATCAAAACAACTCTGAGATACCATCTTACTCCTGTCAGAATGGCTAAAATCAAAAACACCAATGACAGTTTATGCTAGAGAGGATATGGAGAAAGGGGAACAGTTTTTATAACATCTCAAAAGAGTTCATGTAGAAAATTCAGAGAATAAAGTGAACTGTTCATTGTGGAAGGCCTTACATTCATTATTCCTAAAGGAACTCTTTCCTAAAGTTTTTTCTTTAATAAAGTAATGATTTTTTTCATTTGTTTAACAAGTATCTATTGATCATGTTACTCTGAATGCTAAAGATTCATCTGAATGAATGAGAAGGATAAACACCCTAGTGTGCATGAAGATTGTCTTCTACTGAGAAGACACAGAAAGTGCCAGTAAATTCAATAAGTAAATAGGAGCACATGTTAGACATATGCTGTGGACAGTGGTTAACAAGAAGGGAAGGGTCTGTGGAGGTGGGAGGACTTGAAGCAGGGTAGGGCTCATTGTAGAGGTGACTTGGGGAGTGCCCTAAAGAAAGTCATAATAATGTCATTTTCTTCCAGAATTTTCCCCGCAGTATTGGCATTATGGCGGCCATGAGTTCTGTTTGGAGACAGGACCTCTAAGATAGATGGATGTGAGCTCATATTCCTGTTTAATGTTTATGTGACCTGGAATAATGAGAACAAAGAAACATTTCCTTCTCAATTGGAGGCTCTGAGGCTCAAACTCTCTACTCTGAAAGCTGACAGGGAAAGAAAGATTTACCCCATCTATACTGCAGAATAATTGAACAGTTGATGCCACTTCTTTCTGAAGCTTAATCACAACAGTCTGTGTTGTACTGTTGCAAAGTGAACATTTTGTTTCTCCTTGTGAAGTAATAGATCTGTAAGATGATCATCGCTAGATGACAGTGATAAATCCTTGAAGAACAGCAACGGACAACTTGGTAGAGTGTGTTAGCCCCATTTTTGCCAAAAGAAATACACAAATAAAGTGAGCTTGTTGCTTAATCAAGTTTCTCTGCCGGTGAGCATGGAGGAAAATGAGCTGTAGCGGGACAAGGCGAGATGTCACAAGAGCGCATCAGCCACATGTAGACTGCTGACATTTCACAGACACGGTGGTTGGTTGTTTTTTCAGTTGCCATTATAAAAGCCAAGTGACAAGGACAGTAGAGGAACCATTAGGACTAAGAGAGAGTGAAGAGGCGTGGCCAGTAATGCAATGTAAAAGCCATACTTGGCCTATCCTGAGAAACAAAGAATGGCAAGGAGAGTTTCATTTTTTAGAAAATAAGGGAAGTTTGAATACTAATTGAGTGTTAGGTGATATTAAGGAAGTGTTACTATTTAAGTTGGTGACTGTATTATGGTTATGTAAAGATAAAAATGTTTGTTGTGTTAAAGATACAAAAGTAATTATGAGTGAAATGGTATATGTCTTAGATTTGGTCTAAAATATCCCAGGCTTGTAAGAAAGAGGGAGGGAGAGAGATTTTAAAGCTAAATAATTGGGTATACTTTATAGTTACCAGGCTTTTAAAATAGTTTTCCACAATAAATTATTTAAAAGAAGTTTTTTTAAATAAAATTTTTAAAGTATAAAATTTTAGGGGACTGCAAAGATAACATAGTAGTTAAGATCTCTAGCTATTCCTCCAGAGGACCAGTCAGTTCCCAGCACCCACATAGAGTGGCTCACAGCAGCCTGTAACTCTGTCTCCAGGGATTCTGATCTTTTCTCTGGCCTCCTCAGGCACCTACACATACATGGCATATACTTACGCGCACACACACACACACACAGAGTTTTAAAACAAATAAATATAAATTCATGAAAATAAGAAAACGGGGCTAGGGATAAGATGATATGTAGAAGTATATGTTTCTCCACAAGCCAAATAATACTTGAGACTAAAGTGTAAAGCTAGGCCCAGTCACTCACTTAATGTCATTTATTAAGTCATTTCCTATCTGCTTTGTTTTATTTCTTGGTGTTTTTTTTTTTATTTTTAGCAGTGTGTGTGTGTGTGTGTGTGTGTGTGTGTGTGTGTAGGCACACATGTGCAGTGTTGTGCATGCAGAGGATAACGTCTTCAGGGTCAGTTCTCCTTCCCCAAGGGTCATAGGGACTGAACTCAGGTCGTCAGGCTTGGCAGCCACTCATAGAGGAGTTGTACAGTAGATTTTGAAATGCTGTATTACTTTGGTTAAGCTGCAGGTAGGTTTTTCTTTTTATTGGAAACAAAAAACAGGTTGTATGACGTTGTCTTCCCTTTAAGTAATCAGGTGTGTAAGCGTGTGGTCCCTTCCTAAAGACCCTCTCTGCTGCTTTGGTAGCACAACAAACCAGAAGCTGTGGGCCGCGGAGCTGCAGAAGACCATCTCCAGGGACAACAAGTATGTCCTGCTGGCCTCCGAGCAGTTGGTGGGCGTCTGCCTGTTTGTTTTCATCAGACCGCAGCATGCCCCTTTTATCAGGTCAGTAGCAGACACTCCTGTGCTCCTCCCGCTCAATGACAAAGTCCTGGCGCGCGCAGCGTCATCTCTGCCGTTTGTGACTGTGTTAAAGGGATGTTGCTGTCGACACCGTGAAGACCGGCATGGGAGGCGCGACTGGAAATAAGGGAGCAGTTGCCATCCGCATGCTCTTCCACACCACCAGCCTCTGCTTTGTCTGCAGCCACTTTGCTGCGGGGCAGTCACAAATCAAAGAGAGAAATGAAGATTTTGTGGAGATAGCACGGAAGTTGAGTTTTCCCATGGTAAGCTTCTGCTGTTTATGCTGTAAGATAAACCTTTGGATTGTATTTTAATGTACCCTGCATTTTATGTCAGCCAGTTTGGAAGAGTTAAAGCAGTTCTTAGAAACATCAACGATACCTATCGACTTTGTCTTGCTGCTATTGGTTCAAGAAACAGTGTTGATAGCGGCAGGCACATCTGAAGCTTGAACAGTCATGCGCAGTACATAACTATTGTTGTGAACTTCAGATGCCATCTCATGTTTCCAGGGAAGGATGCTGTTTTCCCATGACTATGTATTTTGGTGTGGTGATTTCAACTATCGAATTGATCTTCCTAATGAAGAAGTTAAAGAGCTCATAAGGCAGCAAAATTGGGATTCTCTTATAGCTGGGGATCAACTCATCAATCAGAAGAATGCGGGGCAGGTAAGTGCACACTGGAAAGATAGTTGTGTTACAAAGGGGGCTTTTGGAGGGCTAGAGGGACTGCTCAGCAGTAAGTGCACTCGCTCTCGCAGAGACCCAAGTTTGATACCCAGTGCCCAGTCATTGAGCAGCTCACAACTGCCCATAACTCCAGTTCCAGGGGTCCAGTTCCCCTTCTGGCCTTTGCATATTCCTGCACATTACACAGTACACATACAGCCAAGCAGGCATAAACAGGTGCACAAAGTTAAGAAGAAATATAAGGTTTTTCTTCCTAAGCAAAAAAGAGAGAAAATAAGAGGATTTGGGGGCCAGGGAGATGGGGAGGGGATTTAAATCACTTTCCATGCAATTTTGAAGTTCTAAATTTGATCTCCAGAACCTACACAAAAAGCCCCAGATGAAAATCCTTGTTCAGGGGCATGCACCTGTAATTTGCAGGTAGGTAGGAGATAGACAGACAGATAGATGAGACAGGTAGATAGGAGATAGACAGACAGACAGATGAGACAGGTAGATAGGAGATAGATAGATAGACAGATAGACAGACAGACAGACAGACAGACAGATAGATAATTAGGTAGATAGACAGAGAGATGAGAATCATCCAGCTGCCGAGGTTGTGGGACAGCCAGCCAGGGTATGCTGCACTGGAGAATGAAGACAAACCCTGCCTCACTGAGTGGAGGGTGAGAACCAACTCACAGAAGTTGTCCTCTGACCTCCACATGTGCCCTGGGTCATATACATACTTACACATAAAATAACAAGCATGCAATAAATTAAAATTGTAAAAGGAGGGTATGAATTTTGACAATACCATGTTTTCTTATACTGCACTGGGAGCTGTTTTACATACCTGTGGCTAAACATACAGAATTGTTTTTTTTTTCTTGAAAGAATGAAAGATTAAAAATAAGAAAGAAATGGGAAGACAGAATGAAAAAGTATACATTAATGTGTCTATAAGCTGTACTTTGAAACAGAAGGTTTGTAATTTTAGGGGATGATAAGTAGTGTGGAGTCTCAGATTAATTTGAAGTGGTTGGATGCCACTGGTGTATACTACCCGGGATTGTCATGTCCCTTTTAGACATCAGCTCTGTTATTTGAGGGTGACATCAGACTAGATGATTCCCAAAATTTCGTTGTCTTCTACTTTTTTTTAAAGATGGGGGCTAGACTGAGAATTGAACCTAGGTCCTCATGCAAGTGCTCTACTCCTGAGCCACAATTCCAGTGCTTCATAGAGTTCTGAATGTCTCATAGACAGGGCGATTTCCTTTATTCATGTTTTAAAGTTTCACTACTGGAAAGGTAAGTGGTAGGAAAAGGTGACATGCTAGCTTTGGGTGGCGCTGTTGTTACTCAGCTCTGTTAGAAGTGTTCACTGGAGAGGTAGGGGTTTTGTAGGAGACTACCCAGCACCTAAGAATAAAAGTATAGGACTAGAGAGATGGCTCAGTGGTCAGGAACACTTGCTGCCCTATCAGATGACCCTGAATCCAAAACCCAATTCTGGCCTCCATGGATGTGGGTGGTGGGTTTGCACACGTGCATATGCGCTCATACACACACACACACACACACACACACAACAGACGTAGGTTGCTCTCAGCCTTGATCTAAGAAGCTACTTCTTGTAGTGTCAGCAGTGAGTGGAGAGATGCCCAGCTGCCAGAGTCTGAGAATAAGACACCTGAGTGGTCAGCCCTAAACCACACACCCATATTACCCCACCACCACCATCAAGGTCAGTGCCAGAGTCTGAGAATAAGACACCTGAGTGGTCAGCCCTAAACCACACACCCATATTACCCCACCACCACCATCAAGGTCAGTGCCAGAGTCTGAGAATAAGACACCTGAGTGGTCAGCCCTAAACCACACACCCATATTAACCCACCACCACCATCAAGGTCAGTGCCAGAGTCTGAGAATAAGACACCTGAGTGGTCAGCCCTAAACCACACACCCATATTAACCCCCTCCCCCCCATCAAGGTCAGGGAGCATCTCAGGAAAAACAAGGGCACCAGGATAAGGAGTGCTGTGACAACACACCTGACGCGGGCATGAGCCCACACAAAACTTAGGACCAAGCCAGTCCGAATTGCAGCATAGAAGGGTGGGTGATCTCTGGGCCCCACACCTTACGGAGAGCCATTGACAGTTGATAGTTATTGGGGGTGGGGCATTAATATTTCTGAGACTGTCGTATGACCACTGATAGGTTTCCCATGCTCTAGTGCAATGGTTCTCAACCAGTGGGTCATGACCTTTTTGCTGGGGTCACCTAAGACCATTGGGAAACACATATATTTACAAAAACAATTTATGGTTGGGGTTACCCAACCATACATAACATGAACAGCTATGTTAAAGGGTAGCGGCATTAGGAAGGTTGAGAACCGCTGTTCTAGTAATGGCCCCATACCCGTGCACATGTGTACAGCCTAACTAGACTTAATGAGTTTCCAAAAGAAGACGTGATGCTGAGAGGGGTAGGGAGAATTCAGGGAGAAGTAGAGTGTATATTTGAGCCTGTTTCATTGCATGCGTAGTCTCCAAAACCAAGACACTCTTTAAACTTTTAAGCAAAAACATGAACCTTTATGTGTTTTGGAATAACTTTGTGTATGTTTATTTTAGATTTTTAGAGGATTTTTAGAGGGAAAAGTGACATTTGCTCCAACCTATAAATATGACTTGTTTTCTGAAGACTATGACACCAGTGAGAAGTGCCGCACCCCGGCATGGACAGACCGAGTCCTCTGGAGAAGGAGGAAGTGGCCTTTTGACAGATCAGGTGAGCAGTGGACTTTTTGATTTAGGTAAGTCAATGTGGATTTTATGAGGGGGAGAATGGTAAGCATTGAGCAACAATACGAGCTTTTTGTATACGAAGGCTATCAGCATAAAACAAGCATTTTCAAACAATCCGTGCTTATTTTCCAGTGACATGATTTCATGTAAAGTGAAGTGAGGAAGCACTGTTTTGTGAAATTGTTGATTGCAGCTGCGAAAATGACAGTTGGCTGTTGGGCTTTTATGAAGCAGGGTTTGGCGCTACCCAGGTCCCAGTAATCTTAGTGAGCACCGTTTCAGTTCTCCCCAGTGAAGAAGAAAATAGCGTGGCAGACATGTCTATAAGATCTCTGGGCTGTCTGCTTCCGGAGTTTTAACATGTTAGCCTCAGACTGCTGAGGCTCTACAAGGAAGTGGCACCTATTTGTATCATATGACCTCTCCTACTCATGTGGCCTTTCTTGAACTGTCTTTTATTCTGATTGCAGCTGAAGATGTGGATCTTCTGAATGCTAGTTTCCAAGATGAAAGCAAAATCCTTTACACATGGACCCCCGGCACTTTGCTGCACTACGGGAGAGCCGAGCTGAAGACGTCTGACCATAGGTTTAAACAGCCTCAGTTTTTAATGATTCTTGAAGTTTGTTTGAAGTAAACCCCTTAGGAACGTTTCTAATGCATGTCCTTTGTGCCTTAAGGCCTGTCGTTGCCCTGATTGATATAGATATATTTGAAGTTGAAGCTGAAGAGAGACAGAAAATTTATAAGGAAGTCATTGCAGTCCAGGGCCCACCAGATGGCACAGTGCTGGTCTCAATCAAAAGCACGGCACAAGAACATAATTTTTTTGATGATGCTTTGATCGATGAGCTCCTGCAGCAGTTTGCACACTTTGGTGAAGTCATACTCATCAGGTGAGTGAGGCGTCCGACCCAGAGTGTATCAGAGGCAGTAGTTTCTACCCCGGAAATCCTAATCTAGGGACTGGCTAGTGTGTACAAATCCAAACCAAAGAACTGTACTTGGGGTGTTGCTCAATAGCTCCTAGGTTTTGGCATTAAGTTCTCTACTTAAAATGAATAGTGAAACTTTCACATGAACAATTGAAGACAAGGTGGGTTTGAGTTCAGGAATGACCTCATCAAGATTCCTCTAGAATAGAGCAATGTAGTGAGCTCTGTGAGAATGAAGCTGTGGTCAGTTATTTTAGTGTTTAAGACAGAGAAAAGTAAAGGGACTAGTACCCCCGGATTCAGAGGCTGAGGCAAGAGGATTGTGAGGTCAAAGCCAGCAGACTAAATAGAGAGCATGTAAATAACTGCCTGTAGAAAATAAATCACCGGGAGGGATTTGTTGTTACTCCTGAGTTTAAGAAAGGTGACGTTTAAGGTTGTTACAAATGGTAAACGTCCCATTGCCAGCCAGCAGAGATGTGAACTATAGGAGCATCTGTCCCAGTCCCAGCTCCCTGCTGACCAACCACGTGCCTCTCACATGCAGCAGTTGACCGTCATGTGTGTCTTTTCATTCCTCTGCATGTTGTCCATTTGCTTCTGGTACTGCAGAGGAGCAGTGGAGACATGAAAGACATGGCGTGTGCTTATAGTCCACTTGGAAAAGTCACTGCAGTGGCTTCTCCAGGTCTGTAGAATGAAGACGGGGAGTCTGTGGAGTAGAGCTCAGCCTGAGACACACGAGGTCCTTTCTGGAAGCAGAGGGACAAATGGAGAGAAACTGTGTTCAGACTTCAGACGCTTTGAGTTTTCTTACCCTTCCCCCACATCTTTGAGAACAGTGTATTTTAAATCTTCAAAATCTTATGAAATCCGAGCCTGAGAGATGGCTCCATGAACGAAGGCACTACGTGAGTGCCGTCCCTGGGCTCCGTGTAAGGATGGGAAGACAAAGCCAAGTCCCCAGAGTTGTCCTCTGACCTTCGCAGGCATGCCTGGGCAATAATGAATACATCAGCTTCTAAAAGACTTAGAAACGAACAAGCCGCTCTAGAAAGTACACTGTATAATCTCCCAGGTTTACAGATGACAGTAAGCCTTGCCAAGTATAGAATGTCAGACCACCGGAAACATCTGTGAACCGTGTGAGTGGGCAGCAAGTAGCTTCATGAGCAAATGTAAAATACAGCATTGACTGGAAGACCCTAAATGGTACAAGAGAGAGAGACTGGTAAAGGAGCAGGAACTTGTGTCTTTTTAACTCCCTAGCTTCTTCCTAGTTCAGAATTGAAGCTCAAACCTTTCCTCTGAGCATTGTCAACATTAGGGAAAGTGTTGATAGGAAACTGGGTGTCACTGTGATTAAAAAAAAGCATGGAGTGCTGATAAAGGAGCGTGGGGTGAAAGCAGAGCAGAGGTGGGTGTGGAGGTATGCAGCTGGGGTCTCGGTGCAGCCGCAGACAGCAGACGGTGCTTGGAGCTCGTGACGCTGGGACACCTAAAGCAGCCTTGCAGGCGGGCAGCTGTCCTCCACCACCAACCATTTGGTAGCATTTAAGTCAGAATACCATCCCTGTGTCTTTCAAATGGCAACATTCTTGTAACTTAAAATTTCATGCCAGAGAAGCCGAGTCAGTTATCTTGATCATGCCTGAGTGGTTATAGTCCATGTGCACTTAACTTAAGTAGCATAGTTTGGTACACTTTTATTTCTTAAAATCCACAATCTTTTAGACTCTGAGCATGAGACAAAAAGGTTTTCTCCATACAGCTGGGGAAAGCCGGTTTGCAGAATTTCCTTTGGAAGTAATCAGTGACTCTTCAAAATGTGTCCTTTGTTTCATTTTCTCCTTTTGGGGTGTTTCCTATTTCCCAGAGAGGAAGAAGTGTCTTGTGCAGACAAACACCTAACCCTAAGCTCCTTGTGACCATTAGTTGGGTTGTTTGGAGTTTCCTTCTTAATTGAAGGAAATGGCCTGCAGGAAAGTCACTGAAATGGTGAAAGTGCCCCACTGTGGAGCCAGGAGATGCAGCTTCTAACCCAAGGGTCACCTTGAAAGGGGCTCTCTTATGTATCCCCTTTCTTTTTCTTAAAGATTCGTAGAAGATAAAATGTGGGTTACATTTTTGGAGGGCAGCTCTGCCTTGAATGTTCTGAGCCTAAATGGAAAAGAGGTAAGGTAGATTTGATGATTCTAAACCATTTGAAATGTCTGAAGATATGTTTACAAGCATGCTATGAGAGTGTCTAAATGTATTTTCAGTTAAGGAAAATAGAAGACTGAACTACATGTGGGTTACTTAATATTCTTATTTAGTTGTTTGCCTAATTTAGGGTTATTTTATTTTCTCCTTAGAGATATTAACCATTGACAGAAATGGAAAGGAACACATGTGTACTGCCTAATTTGATTTCTACCATATTTAATGCAAAATATTACCAATTTTTAATTAAGGACCGACATTCCAGCTCTTCTGTATGTTATCAAGTGGAGGGCATTTCTGTTTACAAGACCACGGCAGAAGGTCCCCATCATTTCCAGGGAGTTACCTGGAAGCTGCTAAGGAAAGGCTCTGATCCCCTTCCCTTTTCCAGCATGGATACATAATTGCCACAGATGGCAACCACGTCACATTGTAGCACTTTCAAATGTAACTGCTGGGGATGGCCTAAGCCTGTGATTTGTCACTGGTGCGGAAGTACACCAGTGACCAGGAGTAATTATGCTTCTGTGAAAGGTTAAATCTGTCCATTTTTATGAGTCCATTTTTGTTTGTTTCTTTTGTTTTATGTTTTTTGGCTTTTTGTGACAGGGTTTCTCAGTATTGTTTTGGAGCCTATCTTTGAACTGGCTATGTAGACCAGGCTGACCCCAAACTCAGAGATCTGCCTGCCCCTGCCTCCTGAGTGCTGGGATGAAAGGCGTTCACCACCCGCCACCTACCGGCTGTTTTTTGTTTTTGAAGCTAAATCCTGCATTGCTAAGTGTATGGTCAGTAGAGACCAAATTCTGCACTGTTTCTCCAGTAGTGAGAAGTCCAGAGCTGATCAGCTTTCTCTTGTCATCATGTTACTGTTGCTTTCTTGAAGAAACATATCTGCATATATCGAGTTTGGTTTTTTTGTTTTGTTTTGTTTTTAATGCAGTACTGATATATTCATATCAAAATGAATTAGAAAAAACCAAAATGCAAGATAATATTTAGCTTACCCTTTTAGAAGTCACACATTTCTAAACCTTTAATGTGTTGCCTTTGTTAGAACCACTAATTTAACCCTAATTTTTTTCAGAGAAAAATCTGAAGCATCTGGGCATGGTGATCCCAGCTCTTGGTAGTCTAAGGCAGGGATCTCACTGAATTTTTAGGCCAACCTGGCCTACACAGTGAGACTGTGTCTCAAAAAATAAAAAGCATCTCACACACGCAGACAAATAATAAAAAATACAAGTGTTTTTTAATATATTTGCTAACTATAGAAGATTTTTGTTGATTTAAAAAATGATTTGTGAAATATGTAGGTAAATGATGAATTCAGTTGAGTTTAATACTTGGGCCTGATAAGCAAGTAAGAGATTTAAGGCCTCTGGCTTCACAGCTTAGGTGGTGTTAGACAAGCCGCGCTGTTCAAGTGAGTAGCTTCCGACCTCTGTGCCTTCAGGAGTCCTGAGAGCAGTAATACTTGGAGCTCGAGTCTGTTCACAGTGTGCCAGCTGTCAGCACACTCTCGACCATAGCTACACAGGTCATTTATAAATATTTTAAAAGTTTAAATCTTCTTCCGACTAAGGAACACTTCAAACCAAAGAAAGTTAAACTGTGTGAAAGAGCTTGTGGCTAGGAAGCTGGTCTGTTGTATGGTATGGGCTGTAAGTGAGAGCTTCTCCTGTATGTCATCTCCATATCCTTGACAAAAGAGTCCAATGCCCAACAACAAAGTTTAAAGAACTTAAAAATGCAGAGACAGTATAACTTGATTGTAACATATAGGTGGTTTTAGTAAATCATATTTAGGTCTAAAAGTCACTTAAATGTATAAGGAAAACTGAAGGCTTGCTTTATAAGTTTCAGACATTCTATTTACAGAACAGTTAACTTTTGTGTAAGATTTAAAATAATCTTCACACAACACTCTCCCGACATTTGAGATGCTAACACCATAGGTTAGCACATAGCAGCACGCAGTGACCAGATTAGAGAGGTCGAAATGACAGCAAGCATATGCAAGGCTGTCTGTGTCTTCTGCAGTTGTTATGATGTAGGAGCGCTTGTTTAATCTATGGATCCAAATTGGAATTATACAGCAGACTAGCAGTAGTTTGTACTTGTTGGGTAGAGATACTGGCCAGAGAAAAGGAATCCTAACGGTTTTAGCATCATCAGCTTTTAAAGGAAGAATGGTGAACATCCTGCACATGGGAATTTTTCAGTATGTGTGGAAGAATTTATTTAGACTAGAATCCAACTACACTGTTGATGCCCTGCATAATGTAACATAGGCATCCTTCTCCGACCTTAGTTTCTGTGGTAACAAATTTTTCTCCTGTATCTTTTTTTACATCAACTAGTTACTAAATCGGACTATAACAATCACTTTAAAAAGTCCAGACTGGATCAAGAATTTGGAAGAAGAGATGAGTTTAGAGAAAATCGGTGCCACGTTGCCCTCATCAACAAGCTCCACCCTGCTTGGTGAGGATGCAGAGGTGACAGCCGACTTCGACATGGAAGGTTCGTATGTTGAGCAGGCGTACTCTGCATGTTGTTTGCTCCCTCCCAGCACTGACAACTTTGGATCCCAGTCACCTCTCTCCTGAACACAATATTAATCAGTTTGTCTGATTACCTTAGACTTGGTAACCTATATGCTATTTTATCATTTAATAGTAAATACACTTGACTATTTTAGTTTCTGTATGATAAAAGCACAGAATGGTGTTTTGTATGTGCCAGTTTGTGCCAATAATTATAGTTAAGCAGAAGTTCCAAATGATTTTTCTTACTGCCGAAACAATTTCATAATAATTACTACAAAAGAAATGTTCCAGAGGAATTCAGAGAGCTCCCAAGTGACTAGGAATACACCCATGTGAAACTGAACCCATGCATATAAAGGATCTACTTCAGTTGAACTTTTGAGACAAATTATCTGGGTACTGTAGTTTTCTTAAACATTATTTGAAAGTACGTTTGCTTTCTAATACTATATATGTGTGAGCATCGTTTTCATTAGGATATATTTTGTGATAGAGTAAATGTTTAATGTGTGTAAGACCCTGGGTTCCATCACTGGCCTCCCCAAAAATGCATACCTGACTCTACACTGCTAGATAACACTTCTAAGCTAAACATCTTTTATGATAATCACTAGCTTTTATATTGATCAATTAGTTGATCCACACATAAATATGTAGTTTTTGGATACCAAGTTGTGTTGGATCCTTTTCTAGTTGTGGCAAAATATCTTCAGAAACAAGTTAAGGAGAAGGTGTTTATTTTGGCTCATGATTTCAGAGGTTCAGTCCTGGGTTGGTTTGATTGGTCCATACACTTGGAGGAGCATCCTGGAGGCAGGATCGGATGGTGGAAGCTGGTCTTCTCAGCAGATAAGCAAAGAAGGGGGCGTGTACATGAGAGGAGGCCAGGGCAGGAAATGGACCCAGACAAGCTGCAAATCCTATGACCATGGTTTCTATTAGCTCCTTCTAGAGCTCACTGTTTACTAGGTGTTTTACACAATCATAGTGATAATGGTGTAATAATGAATGTTAGTTAGTGTGGTACCTCATGAGAAAGTTTTTAGTTTAAGAAAAATAAAATTAAGGGACTGGAGAAATGGATCAATGAGTGGTTAAGAGCACTGGCTGCTGTTTGGAGGACCCAGGTTTGTTTCCCAGCACCCATGGGGTGAATCTGTAACTCCAGTTCCATGGGGTCTGATGCCTCTTGTGGCCTCTTCAGGAACTGCACTTGTGTTACACATACGTATGCAAACAGAACTCTCATGCACATAAAAATAAAAACATTTTAAAGTCAAGAAAAGAAAGTATAAACAGGTCCATGATATCTCATCCCTCAGAGAGATGAGTGAAAAAATAAGGACAGGATGCTGTTAGTGACCTTTGTAACAGTAATTTTGTGGTATGGTAAAACAAGATGGTGAAATTGCTCTGGGTGGAAGGTCAAGAAGTAGGGAGCCTGAGAATACTGCTAAAAGGGGCTGGCACAGCAGTGGAGACTGATACTGTGAAAGCGTTGACGGAACTGCAAGGCCTCTGAGGAAAGTGGGGTACCCTGGACCCCTCCATCCTACCCAGCCATGCCTTAGTATCAGCTGTGTGGCAACAGTGCCACTCGCAGGACGCCCTTGGTGAAGGAGGCTCTGTCCCCAGACCTCTTCATTGTGAACTTGAAGTACTCACAATGTTTGTAGGAACGGGACAATCCCGTTTCAGGGAACTTGAGATGCTTTGAGACAGTGTTTCTGGCAAAAGGGAATGAGAGAAATAAACAAGAAATGAAAATTTTCAGGCAACCTGGGGGACCCAAAGGAGACTGGAAACTACAGACGCTGTTATTCTGAGGGTGAGGTTTGTGCAGTTTTCTTCAGGAAGGGCACCCTGAGCAGTGGGCTGTGAGGTCCCGTAGTGGGGCTGACGCATGAGGCTTTGTCGGCCCTGGGCAGTGGGAGAATCATGCAGCTGTGGTGCTTAAGTGAAGGAGGCCACACAGGGGGGCTAAAGATGCCAGGGCACACGCCCTGGACCTGGGGAAGGGAAGAAAGGAGCAAGGACTGAGAGCGTGAAATGTTGCAGAGCAGTGAGTGCCCCAGAGGGTGTCTAGTCCAAGGGTGTGCTGTCCAGTGTGGGAGCGACCCTGTCAGCGAGGGCAACACCGCGGCATTCGGGTGGTTCTGCTTGCTGTCCATAGGGCTTTGTGCAGAAAGCTGGTAGGCCCACTTAGCATGTGCTTCCTGCTTATTCCTGGATGACTGACTAGTCCTTAGTTCTGCACTGGGAGGGAAGGGTGGAGATCTCTGAGGAAGTGGGAAAAGGGTGTCCCATAGACTCCTCCTTAAACATAGGACTTGGAAGGAAGACCGATGCTCTGGCTGCGAGTCCTGTTGCACAGGGTACCCTGACCCCACTTTCCAGCCCTTAGGTAGTTGCAGTTGGGACCTGACAGGAGAAACGGCATCCGTGTTGGGTGAAAACTCTTGAAGTTAAAGCGCAGTTCTCAACCTGTGGTCACGACCCCTTGGTATCTTTAGCCCTGTAAAGCCTAATGTGTGAGACGTTAAGGTGCTGGTGTCTCTCGTGGCCTTGCTTTGGACAGGTGACGTCGATGACGACGGTGCTGAAGTAGAGGAGCTTCTTCCACAGCACCTGCAGCCGTCCTCAGGCTCCGGCCTCGGCACTTCTCCAAGCTCCTCGCCCCGGACCAGTCCCTGCCAGTCACCTACAGTGCCAGAGTACTCCGCACCGTCTCTTCCCACCAGACCAACCCGGGCACCAGCAAGAACTCCAGGGCCTCCGAGTTCACAGGGTGTGCACTTTACTTTAAATGTCTGTGACTGTCTAGACAGCTTGTTTGAATTTTGGAGAACTGCTGTATCCTAGTTTGCTTTCTGTTGCTGTGATAAAACACTGACCAGAACCAGCTTGGGGAAGAAAGGGTTCACTAAGGGAATCCAGGACAGGAGCTCTAGGAAGAATCTGGGGTCAGCTGATGCAGAGGCCGTGGAAGACTGCTTCCTGGCCTGCTCCCTGTAGCCAGCTCAGCCCGCTGTCCTATTCCACCTGGACCACCTGCCCAAGGCTAGCGCCACCCGCAATGGTCTGGGCCTTCCCACACCAGTCATTAATCAAGGAAATTGGCCCTCAGGCCTATCTGATGGAGGCAATTAATTTCTCAGTTGAGTTTACTTCTTCCTCACTGACTAACGCGTATCAAGTTGACGAAAACTAACCAGTAAACATTGTTTAGCTTTTCAGCCCATGCACTGAGTGCCCTGTAGACAGGAGGCATATTTCCCTGACCATAAATAACTCTTAGTGAGTGTAACACTCCTCATTGCTATCACTAATGAGAATCCTATTGATGTGGTTAAGGTTGTCTGTTTTATTTACAACCTGTGATTTTCTATTCTAGGATAAGAACCCTTGACTATGTGGGCTCCCCTCCCCCTTCTTTGCAGGCCAGCAGGTTGTGTAAACAGTAAATTTTGTTCCTTAATGGAACTCCTCAGCAAATCAGCATTCGGCACCTTTGCCACGTAGGAAGTCAGCACGGGGTAGCACCATGGTTCCAGAAGGTGGTTCCTGTAGACTGCTGCTTTATTCACACCGAATATGGTTTACTCTTTCTTTAGTGCACACAAGTTTTAGAGGAGAAAATTGGGGCATTAGTCATTACATATGCACATTCCTCCCCACTAGCCCCTGGTGGAACCTGATCTGACCTCCTCACTTTTTAGGTTCTCCAGCTGACACCCAGCCAACAGCCCAGAAGGATGCTTCCCAGACCTTAGAGCCCAAGAGGCCACCCCCTCCACGCCCGGTTGCTCCTCCAGCGCGTCCTGCCCCGCCCCAGAGACCTCCGCCACCTTCAGGTAACCTGTTACCAGTTACTCTTAGGATGCCTGCCTAACTAAAAGTCCTCCTCCTCCTCCTCCTCCTCCTCCCTCCTCCTCCACCTCCTCCTCCTTCTCCTAAAAGCATTGTGGGTGTTTTCATACTTTTAGACTGGGTTTGTTTGGGTTTGTATGATCATTGTTATTCCTTAAGCTTTTCCAAAGGACTCAGGAACAGCAGGACAGTGTGTCTGTCCAGCAGAGTTCTCAAGCATGTGTCTGCCTGCCTCTTTGCCTATGCACTGGGAAAGCTTGTCTGGGTCTTACTAATTTGATGTGCTTAGGCATGTATGACGTTCTTGAATAAAACTGGGTTTAATTTTTTTAAATTTCTCATCTGTAGCTTTATAAAGACAATTAGCATTTATTAATTTATGGAAATTTTATTTTAGAACTGAAGAGCATACATACTTTTAATATGTTTTACATGTGTCTTTAAATGTTCTCTTGGCTACATACAATGTTCACTTCCTGTGTGCAAATGCATTGAATGATAGCTTTGTGTACTGTCTAGATTTTTACATAATCATACATGATATGTGCTATCATGACTATTGGAGCAGACCTTGACATTTCAACTCTTTATTTAATGTCATTTCCTTTCTGCTGCCTAATTTCTTATGAACTATAAGGGGCTAGGAGTCCTGCACCTGCTAGAAAAGAATTTGGAGGTAACCATTTACATTTGCTATCCTGTGTGAATGCTGGCTTATGGTGTTCTGGAGTTGGAACTCTATAACTCAGGAGACAGTTTAGGCCTGTTTGGTAAGGGTCAGAATGATTGACATTTATACTCCATGTTATAAAGTTCCAAACTTTATATATTCCTGTTAACATACTAGAGCTTAGTTTTATCTGTGAATAGAACTAATAAAACTGTGTCTTATTTTGCATTTCGAGTAACTTTGTTAAATTGTTGCATCATTTGTTTGTGTAAAACTATGATTTTCTTTTCAGTGAGGTAAGCTTTATTCAGTATTGGATGCATTATTTACAAAGTAATGCAGGCTGGGCAGTGGTGGTACACACCTATAATCCCAGCACTTGGGCGGCAGAGACAGGCGAATCTCTATGAGTTCGAGGCCAGCCTGGTCTACAGAGCGAGTTTCAAGACTGTTACCCAGAGAAACCCTGTCTCGAAAAAACCAAATAAATAAATAAATAATAACAATAACAATAATAGTTTATTTAGTTAACATGAAAACTTAAAGTAGGGCCGGGAATGTACCAAGTGTGCTTACCTGGTATGTGCAAGTCATGGATTCAGTCCATAGCACTTAAACACACACAGAGGTGAAACTGGCAGCTCATTCCGAAGGATTTGTCACTGAGTACATTTCCTCTAACTCTCAATAGAGATGGAGATTGTGAAAATAAGTAAGTAGATGATAGATGGATGATGGATAGATGGATAGAGATGGATGGATGGATGGATGGAGAGAGATAGACATAGAGGATTGATGGAGAGAGAGATGGATGGATGGATGGATGGATGGATGGATGGATGGATGGAGAGAGAGAAGGATGGATGGATGGATGGATGGATGGATGGATGGATGGATGGATGGATGGAGAGAGAGAGATGGATGGATGGGTGGATGGAGAGATGGATGGGTGGATGGAGAGATGATGGGGAGAGAGATGGATGGATGGATGGATGGATGGAGGGAGATAGATGGAGATGGAGATTGCCCCCGTTCTCAGAGCTTAGCAGCTCCAGCATTAATGCTCCTAAAGCCCTTGGCTGTACAGAGTTGATGTCTTCAGCTACTGTCATTGTTGGTGAACTGAGACTCAAGCCAGCTGTGAGCAGCTGACACTGCTCAGGTGATTACTTTGGTGACTGTGTAATAAAGACACGTATATGATTTGAACAGTATAACTTTTATGAAAACATTTTTTAATTTCAAAAATCGTTTATTTTGGCCGGGCGGTGGTGGCGCATGCCTTTAATCCCAGCACTCGGGAGGCAGAGGCAGGCGGATCTCTGTGAGTTCGAGGCCGGGCTAGACCGATAGCCTCCAAAACAATACAGAGAAACCCTGTATTGTAAAAACCAAAAAAAAAAAAAAAAAAATCATTTATTTTTAGGGTGAATTCCACTTTACTAGGAAACCAATCTGTAGAAAATAAATTTTGAAATAAACATGTGAAAACATTAGCAAACAAGTAGCTTACTTACAAATGTGTTTCCATTTTAAAAATGCTTCTCTTCATAATTCTTCTACAGATTATTTTATTCTACAACTAGTAATCCTCTGAGACAGTGAGCCCAGAGAATACATCAGGAACTAACTCCTAAGACTTATGCCCTTTTGTAGTCATTTAAGATGACTTGAAACTTTGTTTATGATTATTTTCCTTTTGACTATTGAATAATGTATTAGTAATCTAGGTATAAGAAATGAGATGATTATAAAGTTTTGCATTAGACTTTTTGGTTCCTTACTGCTGGTAATTTCAGATATGCAAAGGAAGCTGTGTTCCTGCTTTTGAGGAATCAGTTCTGAGCTAAAGTCGCTTTGATAACTTCCAAAGATGTAAAGCAGTGAGAAACCCTTCATGAGAATAATTGTGTGCCTTTCATCCTATGCTCTGGGCTCTGAACAATACATAGCTTTTGTTCTTTCTCTAAAAAGGTGTTGGAGCCCCTCCCAGTCCTGGGGTAGCTAGGAGAGAGATGGAAGGTAACAAGACTTTTGCATTATAGATACGGTTCTTGTTCCAAGTGTCAACCCTCCAGTGTTTCATGGCTCACTAAATCCTACCGAAATCCACACCTCTCCTTGTCCTTATACACACCTCGTGTTTTTCTCTTTCCCTTCTGTGTTGTACATATATTTAGTTCCCAATGGATATCCATTTAATGTCTTATCCCTGAGGTTCCTGTGTTGTTCATACCTAGTCCTGTGTACCTGGACTATGAGATCACTGTTGAAAGAAGCATACCTTCATTTTCTTTTCCTGAATAAGTCACTTGTTTACCAATGCTCCTGATTAGCCTGAAGGTTCATAAACTAGTAACTGTAAGGTCCTAGAATCTAGTGTTTTATAGTTTCTTCTATAAAAGATGTTTCTAAATATTTTGGTATTGAGCTAGATTTACTTAAAAGACCACTAAAATTGGGGCCATTTGTTAAGACTACAATTATTTATGGACTACCATATTTGGTATAACCATCGAATTTCTTCTCAAAATGGAAAATCTAAGATAACGCTTGATAGCATCTTTTACTCTTTCTATCCCCCAGAGTAATTTTCACTTCATCCTTAGGCCACCTTCCTGAGTTTGAGCCATACTATAACTTCATATAAGTATGTCTGGACCTGTCTTCTGTCTTAATCCTGGTAGTTTCTTGTAGATTTTGCAAGACTTCACTCTTAGATAATTCTACCCACAGTCAGCCCATACTATGACACTTAGCCTGTTAGGAACTGTGGCTCAGGAGCCTTTTGACAACTAAGCTGTTAAGGAGCAGGCAACCAGGTCTTCAAGGTCCATGGACAGAGGTCTGTGAAGACTGTCACGTTAGAAACTGTGCAGGTTCTCGAATGCTCCAGTTTCTGTCTTTACCAAAGCTAAGTGCTTGTTTTGTTGCCATCTCGTGCCTTTGTCTCTGCTGGCAATGAACAGCGCAGCCAGGTGATGCCACGCACTGTTGTTTTATTGTTTACTTATGACCGATTCTTTTTCCTTTCTGCTTCAAAGCACCCAAAAGCCCAGGAACAACACGGAAAGATAATATAGGTAAACACACTTGAATGTAGTTACTTTCTCTTAAAACTGGACCATGCAGTAGACACTTGGAATAGAAGTATATGGTTTCTTATTTCTTTTTACCTTTTTTTTAACTTTCTTAAATTCACACAATATGATGTCTTTATTTCAGGGCGTAGTCAGCCTTCACCTCAAGCAGGACTTGCAGGCCCAGGACCTGCCGGATATGCTGTAGCCAGACCGGTAAGTCACCCCTGGCCTGGGAGTTGAGAGGTATTTGTTCTAAGTTCTGATTTACAGATAATCTGTTTGTTACATTGGAGAGAATCAGGAGAAACCCCCCAGACCTCAGTTCTTCACCTCTGAAATAAGGGAGCTGGTGCTCTCCAAGCGATATCTCAACTCCAACCTTTCTCACATACTCCAAATGATTACACTAATTTATTTGAATAAAAATAACGTACTTAATTATGGTCACTAAATAAACATTTTGATGTCTCTTAAAATATGAAGAAGTAATGTATTTGGATAGCTGTTTATCATGTAGCCTATTTAATCAATAGAAATACAGAGATATCCTTCCAGCCAAGGTGGCATACAACCTTAATCTCAGCACTGAGGATTCAGGAGTAAGTGGATCTCTATGAGACTAAGGCCAGCATGGTCTATGTAATAAGTTTCAGAAGAGTTAGGACTATGTAGAGAGACCTTGTATTAAAAAAAAAAGTATTAAAGACTTAAATTATAAAATTATAATAGCATACTTAAACTGGTTCTAAAGATAAAAATAGGAAGGCAGATGGCTTACAAGGTTTTTTCGATACTTTATAAATCTGTGGTTGTCTGTTTAACATATGTTCTGTTATATTCATACGTTTCTATTATTCACTCAAATGAAATTTCTATGAGCTGTAACAGTTATTTGGAAAGAAAAAGACAGGGCCATAGGGATGGCTCAGTGGGTAGCAGGCTTGCTATGCAGGCCTGATGATCTGGGCGCCTGGTGTCTTACATCTGTACCCCCAGCATTTAGGTGGCAGAGGCAAGAAAAGTGCTATTGTGAGACCTTAGCTCAAAAAACCCGGACCCAAACAACAACAACAAAAAACAGTGTCTTTGGCCTTAGATAACTATTATAGGCTTAGACCATTCAACAAAAATACAAGAATAGAAAACATTTTCCACCAATATGTCTTCTGACTTATTTAGACAGTTAAGAATGCTATTTCATGGTTTCAAAACCCAGGGAGGGCAGAGGTGGCTCAGTGGCTAAGAGCATGGGCTGTTCTTCCAGAGAACCTGGGTTCAATTCTCAGTACCCACATGACAGCTCACGACTGTCTGAAGGGGATCTGACACCGTCATGCAGACATCCATGCAGGCAAAACGCCAGTGCACATAAAATAAAAGGAGTCACTGGAAAAAACTCTGGGATCGGTTGATTCTGAAGTCTCATAGTATGTAAGGCTTGTCTCCATCATGTATGCTTCCAGAGTGAACCACTCTTCATGAAGTCAGCACTGCTTGTGGTCAGGCCCTTGCCCTGCATGCAGCTCGCCAGGCACACATTTTTATCCTAGCACTGTTTCCCCTGTGCATGTCTTGACCTGAATTGAAAATATAGGTGATACAGCCACAAATGAAATTAATGTCACTAGTATGTTCCTATCTCTAGACAATTCCGGCACGGGCTGGAGTGATCAGTGCGCCTCAGAGCCAGGCCCGGGCATCTGCCGGAAGGCTAACCCCTGAAGCCCAGAGCAAGCCCCCGGAGACATCGAAAGGTAGGCATGCTGGGAGCACACTCTGCCCCAGGCTTCACCTTCTTCTCTTTCTCTCCCTCCATATAAAATCTAACTTACTCTCTTGTGCCCCTGGAAACGAGGCTGTTGCCATGGAGAAGGAAACGAGAATGCCTGCACACCTCCCTAAAGAAAGACAGCCTGGCTTTCAGCACATCGCTAACGTGACAATCCTTGGTGTTGCAGGTCCAGCCGTCCTTCCGGAACCACTGAAGCCTCAGGCTGCGTTTCCTCTGCAGCCTCCTCTGCCCCCACCTGCTCAAAAGCTGCAGGAACCTCTTGTCCCCGTGGCAGCACCCATGCCTCCTTCTGGCCCCCAACCGAATTTGGAAACCCCACCGCAGCCCCCACCTCGGAGCAGGTCATCGCATAGCTTGCCTGCAGACTCCTCACCACAGCTGCAAGTAAGTGTCACTGCTGAGCAAAGTGTCTCTGTATAGCGTAGAGCACACAGCACATTCTAAAGATGAATGTGTGGTGGGGTTTCCAAAGACATTGTAGAGGTGAAATGGCATGATACCTACAGCACATCCTTGGGTAGCTGATTAGGAAAAAGAAGAGGTCTGACCTTGAACCAGTATTTGTGCACTTATACAAGACACTTTATTTACTCTTGTACTGACCTTAATGACTGGCAACGATAAAGTGTATTATTTTGAGAACTTATGATTGAGCAACCTGTCTTATATGAGTGTTAATAACAATATAATTCCAGCATCAGTGGTTTTGATGTAATCCCAGACCAGTACATTGTGAGGCAAGAGGATCAGGGTCTGCATGCAGTCTTTGAAACCTAGGTGGACCCCAGGTAGATCCTGGCTCAGTGTTTAAGAAACTTAGAAGGCCCTGTGGTTTCCTTGAAACAGCAGAATGTAAGACATCTATAAAACAACTCAACCATGCTGAATGCAATAATATGTCAGCAGCACACGGGTGCGAGCTACTGAGCAAGCAGAGCACAAGGACCGAGAGAGCTCTCACTGAGCCCGACACTGCTGACTCAGGGCAGGTCCCAGACTGGCACTGTTTACCCGGCCCTACATGTGGAGCAGCAGTTCTTCAGTGCAGCTGTTGCTGGGACGTGCACAGGCTATTGTATGAGAATATACAGAAGTCCACAGGCACTTGTGCAAGGCCTTCCCATTGAGTGTGTTCCACAGAATCAATTTGAGCCTCAAGTATGACGTCATAAATATACCTTGCCTTACTGTTGCAAAGGTTAGACAGTAGAGAGACAGTGATAATGTGTAGATTTATGCACATGATTTAAGAAATCTTGTAATACATTTTAATACCATAGCACTTAGCTAAAACATGAAAACTAAGGCACTTTATGCTGGACTGACTCTTGTGACATGTCTTATTTGAAAATGTATTTAATAAAACTTTGTTTAAAATTAACAAAACTGAAAGAATAAAGAAGTGTTAAAAAGTATAAGTCCATGATTTGATTTAATCTGAAATACTGTGTATTGTCAGTAGCCTTTGAACATATTTTATGAGTAGTAACTTGCCCTTGTTTTACAGATAGATGGGTATATTGACCTACTTGGCAGATCATTTCTAACATAGGTCAGTATTGCAAAGCAGACAGGAAAGCAGCTAAGACTCAGATTAGTTATTGGCGGCTGGTATTTGCTAGGCTGCTGTTTACATTTCTGAAAACTAAAGAAAGCAATCGAAAAACTTAAGTGTTCTCAGTGGATGAATACTAAAAGTTACTCTGCTTTTTAGTTAAAGTGGAGGTGCTGAAGATACTTAATAGAAACTTCAGAGAATAAATATCTACTATTCTTTTCCCTCTACCTCCAACCTTAAAGACTTATTTCTGTACTACCTACTATTATTTAGAAAATTAGTCGGAATGCAGAAATCTTTGAAAGTAGCCAATTTAAATACTGTCAATACAGGTTGAAGGCATCTATTTCAGAGTAGAATCTCCTTACTCCACACACTTTGTAATATTAGTGTCCCAGGACTATTTCATGCTGATTACAGTGCCTTGGACCTTTAACGTAAGCCTGTCCTTACCCTCCTGTCCTGAGCCAGCACTGGTGCAGATGACTGCAGAGTCATCAAGATGATGACCACCAGTTACAGAACATGACACTCGTGTGTCAGGGCAGGACCCTGGCCTCACATGCACATCCCTGGGCTTCCCCAGCACTGGGGGATATGGAGGAGGCGGGGTGAGGGAGTCGGAGACTCTACGGTATGTAATACATTTAGGATGGCATCTCTAAATTGCCAAATTTTGTTTATTACTTCTTGTACATTTCACTGTTTACATGTTAGGAGATCCAGTGTCTTAAGAATATCAGATTTTTAAAAATATAGTCAGATTATTGAAAGACTGTGATTTCTCACTTTGTTGTACATTCAAACTAGGAAACCGTAAGGGAGTTAGTTTTCTAAGTCCTTTAGAAAATTAGAACAGCATGAGCAAGACCGGCCCTGCTGTTTGGCTAGATGACTCTTTGGCTTCTGAAATAGTGATATCAACCTTGTTAGTGCTGCACTGTTAAGTTTACATCCTAAGGGTCCAGAGAGGCCAGAACTGTGTGTGAACTGTGTGTCACCCGCACGTGCTGCTCTTTTGCCCCTCCTGTGACCTAGAGCCACGAGCTTTCTGAGGACTGACTGGTTGGGGCTGCGGCTGGTCTGGAACTGTCCTAACTCTTTTCTTTGATGTTTGTGTTCCTTTCCCAAAGCAGGAGCAACCGTCAGGGTAACAGGTACCTGAGTGTTTATCACCTTCCATGTGCTGCCCATCTGTCTCCCCAGCTCTAGATGTATGAGGTTTCCCTTCATACATCTAAAGCTCCACCCATTTTTAAATCCACTCCTCCACATTAATAAATTCTATTGCCATACCATAAACTCATACCTGCTTTTTTTTTTTTCCTTAGTATTTTGGATTTTTAGGAACTGTTTTAGTTCTTGCTAATGTCTTACCATTTTTTTGCTTTGTTTCTATGCAAATTAACAAAACTAAAAAGTATAATTTCAAAAAGGCAAACAATTTCTATGTGAAAGCCTATTTGGCTAACCCACTTTGGCTCTTGGTTTTAACAATGGCATAATTATATAAATGCAAAATCCAATTGTTTTTTCCTTAGGTTTCTTTTTGGGAAGTCTTTTTTCAGATATTTTAGGAGCCAGATTCTTTTTGGTAAGAAAGAGTTAGTGATTTAGATTAAAATTAATATTTAAAAAAGCCCTTCCAACACCTTTCTCTGTAAAAGCACATCTGATGACATTACAAATTCCTAAGTCCTGCACAAATCACAAGTTAATTACAATGTGGTGGATGGCAGTGTGGGTCTCGCTGTTGTTTCCAAGCTGATCTCATCTGAGCCCTGCTGGGTCCAATGGCTGTGCTCCTCAAGCCAGCTTCTGGGTGAACAAGGGACTTAGGAGTGGATGCAGTCTTTATGGCTGTGAAGTTAACATTGATCACTCTTTTCTCGCTCTCAGCTCACGGCCAGTGCTGCTCAGAGCAAGGCTTCTTTTGGATTTTAGAGTTTTTAGACTCAATGTTCATAGAACATGGAGTGCCCCCCCTCCATTTTAAATAACCCTTGCCTTTATCTGTCTTGCTTGATAGGATGAGGAAGGTCCATTAAGGAAAAGTGATTATTCAGTGAGTAAGTCTACAAAGGTCAGCTATCATTAAAAAACAAAAAAACTCACTTTTCCCAACAGAGAAAGGGAAAAACTCCATCTACAGTTTTTGAATTTATGAATATGTTCATAATTAGCTTTTATTCATAAAACTAAATTTATGTAGGGAACTTAGGTGAAAATATAGCCTCATAGATGGGTGTTGGAAGTTTATTATGTATATTTACCAAATGCTCTTCCCATATAAGCTTGTTTTGTGTTAAAATTTAAAAGAACAGAGCCGGGCGTTGGTGGCGCACGCCTTTAATCCCAGCACTCGAGAGGCAGAGGCAGGCGGATCTCTGTGAGTTCGAGGCCATCCTGGTCTACAAAGCGAGTTCCAGGAAAGCCTCCAAAACAATACAGAGAAACCCTGCCTCGAAAAACCAAAAAAAAAAAAAAAAATTAAAAGAACAGGATATGAACAAACTCATTGTATTATATAATTCTCTTTCTTACCATTTCAAAAATTGAATGCAAGAAATTATTCCATCACATTTCTTTGAGATTTAAAACATGGATTTGATAAAAGGATTTATTTAGTTATAAATTCTTCAAGAACATAATTTTACCTATTTCACCCTATTTATTAAACCACCAAAGTAAAAACCTATAGTTACTTTTTAGTTTCTAAATTTGTATAGTTGCTCAAGAAAAGGGGAAATAGTAAAAAATAAGAACAGAAGTACTAATAAATGAGAGCCAATCATTCAGTGTTCATTCTTTTCCAGGTAAAGACAAATGGAGTTTCTGGTGTCAAACAAGAGCCAGCGTTGCAGAATGATCCATTTGAAGCCCTCTCACTTAGTCTGCTTGCTGTATCAAAGGCTCAGCTATCCGCTCAGACGTCACCTGTTCTAACCCCAGACCCAAAGATGTTGATTCAGTTGCCTTCTGCATCGCAAAGTAGTGTTAACTCTTTGAGTTCTGTAAGTTGCATGCCAGACATGCCTCCCGTCCCAGCACGGACCAAGTCACAGGGAAGTGTGGGGAGCTCTGTGAACCTGCTTCCCAGCCTGCCCAGCAGGAACCCTTTTACAGACAGGACTGCTGCCCCCGGAAACCCATTTCGAGTTCCATCTCAAGAATCGGAGGCAGCTGCTTGGCTGTCCAAAGAAGAGCCTGTTCCTGACAGCTCTTTCCCTCTTCTCACGCCTCTCAGTCAGGACACGAGCAAGCCGTCAACTTCACTGGGTGGTTTTGAGGACAATTTTGACCTACAGAGCCAGTCTACAGTAAAAACAAGCAACCCCAAAGGGTGGGTAACCTTTGAGGAAGATGATGACTTCCTTCCATCAGGGAAGTCAAAGCCACTGTGCTCAAACGTGCTGGCTAATGCACCAGCTTCATTCGATGATGACTGGAATAAAGGTGCAAGGGTTTCTTTCAGTGTGTTGCCAGCCAGAAGACCACCACCTCCTCCTGCCCCTCTGCCCCCACCCAGCGCGAGCTCATCCTCTGTGGGCCCTTGCACAACCCTGGCATCTAAGGCGCCTCCCACACTGGACTTCACAGAGAGATAGTTATCTGATGGGAAGGGGGCTCGTGCTGGTTCCCTTGAGGCAGAGTAGAGAGGATGGGGCATTAGTTATTCTTTATGTGCAATAAGTGATCGTTGAGTGCACTGATAGCTATATAAAACACCACTAGAGGGTGTGGACAGAGCTGGAGTTTGTATATACTGGAAATCGCAAAGACACCCTCTTATTAACTAGATCTTTTTCTTCAGATGACTAGGAGAGATCAGAAACCATTCTACAAAGTGCTGAAAACTACTTTAAACAATAGTCCTTACATTACTGCCAGCCCGCTGTGCTGTTGGTGATTGGTCTTCTTGGATATTTACCAAAGAGCTCCCAGAGTCATGGTGGACAATTCTGAAGGCACTACTTTAGCAAAAAGGTCTTTGTGTGTACACATTATATACATGTTTGTATGCACACAGACATACATGTACACATTTACAAAACTTCAGTCTTGAGATACAATCACATCAAGTTTTACCCAGCAGTTCTGACAATGTCCTTTTTTTCAGTATCTCGTTATCAAAAGGATGGCTGCCACCCAGGTGTGCTTTGCACACTTTCACTAATTTAAAATCCCAGAGCAGAATAACCGCTTTATAGAACTGCCATTTTTTATTATTATGTACTCCAGCCCTTCAGATTCACCCTGAGTCCTTCCCTCCCCTGTACCTCTGCTCTGCCTTTCTCTGAGGTTCACAGTTGGCAGCATAGACAGCTACTCAGAACAGGAGGCGCAGGCCACCAAGTCATGTGTGAAGTCGAGCTATACTGCACGGCCCCCTCTCTCCCCTCTGTTTGCTGCTTTGCCCTGGAGCTCTGCTTGCAGCAGGGAAAGCAGCTGTTGAGGGCGCTAGAATTGGGGGTCCCTGTGCGTTCTCTCCCATGTAAGAGGCCATACACATCTATGATGCTGCTTTAAGGTTTTAGAGGCTATGCCTCACATTTGCTGTTGATTTTGTCTGCTGCACTGCCGGTATGCAACCCATCTTGCTTCTAGTAATTTTGTGAAGTAAAAGAATTTTTACAAAAAACAAAACACACACACACATAGTATTTTGATATTAAGTAAGCCAGTTGAAAAACTCCCTAAGGTGTTGTTGGGTTGGTTGTCAGTTGAAGTTAAAATCATCCTTACCCATTAAGACTTAATGTTCTTTTTATATAGAAAAGTTACATGCGTACATGCAAGTTCTTATGTCCATATGAACCTTTAAAGATGTGTATTGTGAGACTAGAAAACGTTTATGGCTGCCGTCACCTCCATGTAAAGCACAGCACACTGCATTGCACTTCTAACGTAGAGCGATGTCAGGACAGCAAATGCTCAGTGTTATCAAACGCTGTATGTGTAGAAGTAATCCCCTGCTACAGCCAGAGTCGCTGTAAGCAATAACTCCCAGGAGTTTTATATTGTGCTTGTTGGGTTCTAATCATTTCAGCCGTAGTAGCTTTTAAACCGCAGTATTACTATAGCAGTGTGCTTCAAAATGTGACTTAGCTTGTTGAGACTGTTGCTGTAACATCTTTGTGACTAGTGTGTATATCCACTCCCCATTAGCAAGCTTATCCATCCTTAGGAAACCAAAGCAGTGTGCCCCCCAGGTGTAAACCACTCTAGAGTCTGTAGAGTAGCAGCTCAGCCTTGTGGGTCTAGCGCACTGCTGAAAATGCACAAAGGAAGTGAAAGTTTGCTACAGAAAAAACAGGACATTGTGTGTGAACATTTACTGGCTCTGGTCAAAACAGAGCAGAAAAAAGACACTAAGAATCTCTGTGAATGTCTGTTCTCTATAGTAGATTGCTGTTTATATGTATGTAAGAGTTTTATTGCTTATGTGGCACACAATATTTATAACTATATACTTTATAGAATTACAGTATTAAAGTCAGTGATATACATTCTGTACATATCCTGTGAAATGTGCTGTCATATGAAATAAATATATCTGTCTTTACCACTAGCTGCTTCTTTACTCAAAAGGGAAGTTTTTTCTCAGCCAACTTTTTGTATTTTACATACACAAATTCCATGGCATAACTAAGTTAGTGTTTTGTGCTTTCGTGTGTGTGTGTGTGTGTGTGTGTGTGTGTGTATGTGTGTGTACATCATACATGCATGAATAAGTAGTTTATTCTGGAGTCATTTGAATGACCAGGGCAGATTTAGGTTACCCAAACTCCCATGTTCTACCATGGAAAGCAAATTCATGACGTTTTATGGGTCTGTAGAACAAAAGCCATAAGGCATGGCAAGTTTAAGATACATTGATGGATACGTCAGAGAAGCAGCTACAGAATGATGCGTGTTTTTCTGTACGCATCAGATGATACGTGATGACATTCTTAACTTTTGGTTAGTGGAAGCTTAGTTATAGATTTCGAAGGTTGGGGGATATTATTCTGACCCGGAAGAGAGGCAACGGCTAGCCGTTCTGGCGCTAAGGCTCGCAAAGACAGGACCTGCTATATTCCATCGTTTACACATCGGTGCAGTATCATCAGCTACAGAAGCAGCTTCCGTTTTCCACCTACAAGTAGATACTCTAAAGCGCCAGCAAAACAGAACCAAACCCCGCAAAAACAAACAAAAAACTCTGAGTTTGGAACCATTTCAAGGCTACACAGCAGCTGCTCTATTTATTCCTCTATCTGAATTTCCTCTGTCCGTTTGTTTTTGTTTCCTCTTTGCCACACTCAAAGCATCACCTCAACTGTGTCCGAGCCCCCTGAAGAACAACGCTGCGCCTGCTGGCCCTTTGGGAGACCGGGGACCAGACGCGGCGGGACAGTGACTTCCCTGGATCTGAAGCGGAAGGCATTTCCGGGAGCGACCAGTGCCAGCGCGGAAACGAGTCCGGGCTTGGGGACTCGCAGCTTGGCTTGGGATTCAGTTGCCCGGACAACACCCACTTCCGGCAGCGGCGACAGGACAGCCAGGTGTGCAGCGTCGCAGCCTTCCCCGCGCAGGTTCCGGCGGGGCGCCGGAGGCCCGGCAGGCTCAGTGTTTGGCTGTTGCTCGGGGCAACAGCCACTTCCGCGAGCGCACGCCGTCCTGTCTTTTCGCCCGGCGGACGCGCGAGCCCGAGTCCCGGGGTTCCGCTGCCGGGCAGCAGTTAGGCTCGCTGCCGTGCGGGTCGGGCCGGCCTCTCGGGCCCGCGGGCCGCGTGTCCCCTGTCTGCCTGCCGCCCCGACGCCTCGGCGGGGCCTGCGGCGCAACCATGGTGGTACTGCACGTGAAGAGAGGCGACGAGAGCCAGTTCTTGCTGCAGGCGCCCGGGAGCACCGAGCTGGAGGCGCTCACGGCTCAGGTGACCCGCGTCTACAACGGGCGGCTGAAGGTGCAGCGGCTCTGCGCAGGTCCTGGAGGGAGAGCTCGGGGCTGTGGGGGCCTGGGGAGGTTTGCAGTAGCCCGGGGTGGGACGGGGAGGGGAGGCGGCCGAGCCAGGATTTGGCGATCCAGGAAGCGCGAACGGTCCAGCTCGAAGGGCGGTGGGAAGGGGCCCGAAGATCCAGAGGGACGCGGAAGGTGGCAGGGGTGAGGGGTGGAGCGGGAGCCCGGGGAGGAGCTTCACAGGTGAATGGTTGCCCTGTTTGAGCCTGAGAGAGCCAAGTCCTGGCTTTGAGACCGCCCATCAAAAGTGAGAGGCGCTGGGAGAGCCTCGGTGCTGTTTCCTGTCTCCTAGGAAACACGTGTTGGGTTTGCATCGTGGAGAACGCCTAAAGACCTGTGGTGTCTTTCCCTAATTAAACAACGGCTTTCGAAACAGGCTCTGTGTTAGATGACGTTTTAAAAGTAAAGCATTTAGGGAGAGAAAAGTCCCGGTCTTCCTTAACACTGAGTTGAAACTGTGGCGCAGAGTGTAAGAGTTGTGAGGGTAAGTTTAGAACCCACGGATGTTGTCAGTCCACACTCGGGCAGGCAGCAGTGCTCCACCCTTAGGACGACGAGGTTGAGTCACTCCAGCCCCTCTCCCAAGCGCTTAGTGTGGAAATGGAAAGAGGATGCAAACATCCCATCCACTTACACTGTCATCGGGTCGTATGGTTGCAGGTCACATGCTGTCTTCCCGGCATTGTAGAGACCCGCAGTTCTTAGTGTCTCCCTCATAGGAAGGGGAAGGAGAAAGGAAGGCAGGTAGTACAGCAAGGCCCACGCCCGTGTGGGGGGGGTTGCATATATATTTATATATATTTAATGTATATGCTGGTGTAGGTTCGAACAGTTATGATAGCAATAATAGAAAACCATGCATTTGAATAGTAAACACGACGTGAGTTTTCTCACTTTTGAGGGATAGTTGCTGCCTTAGGCACTTAATATGTTCAGACCTCTCTAGAATATGTCTGGTGACTGGGTTCCTGAAATAATCAAAAGAACAAGTTAACTGTTTTCTCATTCTAAGAGGGAGGAGCTGGAGCACAGTCATATCCGAGTCAAAGCCAAAGCCCAGCACCGTAGAGCTCTTCTAGGCTTCCTCGGCTGTGCTTCGCTCCCTCGGCTCTGCCATCTGGAGCACAGAGACCATCTCATAGGCCAGGCTGCTCCACTCCACAGCTGCCGCTCTTGTTGCTTGTCACCCCATGGCTCTGGCATTTCAGAGTCGCTGGGCCATCCACGGGCTGCACCTTCACCAATGGCACCTGTCGCCTCCTGGCCTCTCCCCATGATCCCTTCAGTCCTGGAGTTTCCCTGCAACTGAAGCTGCACCTTCACCAAAAGCCTTTCCTGGCCTCTTACTGCGTCCGGCCTCCACCTTTCTCCAGGACCCCTTCGTGTGTGTGTGTGTGTGTGTGTGTGTGTGTGTGTGTGTGTGTGTGTGTGTGTGTGTGTGTGCGCCCCCAAAACGAGGACAGCGTGGGAGGTGCATTTCCCAGAAGAGCCTTTTGCCTCCATGGTGTTGTCTCATCCACAGCTGTTGGATTTCTCAGGTCCAGCAAAATGTTCTGGTCCCTCGTTAATCACAGCTCATTTCTCAGCTCCAGCCGGCCAGAACCACAGATTCTTAGTACAAAATATCCCGGGAATGACCGGGTAGAGTCTTTGTTTCCCTCTATCGTTTCACGAGCCAGACCTCCATCATCTGCATGCTCAGCACTCAGTGGCTGCTTTTCCAGCACAAAGTTCCAGACACTAACACAATTGTGTTCTCAAGCCTCAGGTCACAGCGTTGTAAACTAGGAAGGTGGGGAAGTTTAAGCAATTGTCATGCCTCTCTCACAAGGTTACGTTAAGAGGGGTCGTCTGAGATTCTCCTTGGAAAATGGCAAGGCTCTGTGGGTAGACTATGTGGGTAGGCCACGAGGGTGGGATGTGGGGTAGGATGTGGGTAGGCTGTGTGGGTAGGCACAGTCTTTAAATGAGCATTACTCTTACAGCTCCGGAGCACAGAGTGTAGACTGGGGGGAGGGGCACCTGAAGCTCGCTGTGCTTCCACTGACTGGGGTAGTCGGTGACTGTCGGTGAGTGAAGGTCTGGTACATGGCTCGTGGTGCGGTACTTTAAGAGTGAGCTGGAAGAGCCAGAGGGGCACGCACTCCTGTGGAGTCTAGGTGTGGGTGGTCACAGTTCGCGTGTGACCCCCACCTCCCATTTTTCAGAGATGGAAGATCTGGCAGAACACGGTGTGTTCCTCCCCCCGAATATGCAAGGGCTGACTGACGAGCAGGTCCAAGAGCTGAAACTGAGGGACGAGTGGGGAGAAAAGTGTGTGCCCAGCGGCGGCGCGGTGTTCAAGAAGGACGACATCGGGCGGAGGAATGGGCAAGGTGAGGGCGCTCTCTCCCGTCTGCGCATGAAGGCAGTTCTTTAGGTTGAGCTCTTTGGGCCAGCAAATGGCTCTGCAGATAGGAATGCTAGCCTGTAAGCCACCCGAGTCTGATGCCCAGACGCCATGACGGAAGGAGAGCCAACCCCACACAGTGCACACATGCAGCCTGGCACACACAAGCCCGCCCACACTCACATCATACAGGAGAAACCTTTTAATGTGATCTCATCGTTCCTTTGCAAACTTACCCATACTGCACTGTGAAACTCCTATGCTAAAACCCCAGTCCAAGGCGAGCCAAGCAGAGGCCCCTCTAGAGGCCCGCTTGTACCGGCTCAGCTGTCCCCTTCGTGGGTAGACAAGCCATGCAGACTGACGGTTCTGTGGGTCAGAAATGGACGAGGACTGTACCAGCCTCCTAACTTCAGGGACTCTGTCTCCACTGTGCTTTGTTTTAAGCTTGGGAGTTAGGATTTGCTGTCGTGTGGCACATTTGGACAGTTGTCAGGTAACGTAAAGGTGTGTGGGTCAGGCGGGCACACACATGTAATCCTAGCACTCGGGAGTGTAAGGCAAGAAGATCGGGCATCCAGGCCAGCCTGGGTACACAGAGACCCGGACTCTAAACAAACGTGCGTGCATACATACATGCATGTGCCAGCCTGGGTACACAGAGAGACCCTGACTCAAATGCGTAGGCATGCGTACATGCATGTGCCAGCCTGGGTACACAGAGAGACCTGACTCTAAACAAACGAGCGTGCATATGTACATGCATGTGCCAGCCTGGGTACACAGAGACCCTGACTCTAAACAAACATGCAGGCATGTGTACATGCATGTGCCAGCCTAGGTACACAGAGAGATCCTGGCTCTAAACACGCAGGCATGTGTACATGTGTTAAGTTCTGTTGCCTTCAGTCATTCCAGTCGCCGCCGCCTGTGTCTGCTTTTGAGCACTGTGACACGGAGTCACAGCTTTGTAGCCTGAGAGGCCTAGCATGCCTTTCCTTGGTTGCTGGCGCTGTCCTCTCAGTGACTTCTCCGGCCTGTTTTTGCAGCCTTCACCAAATTGCTCAAGAGCCTGTGTAGACCTGTCCCCGGCGAGGGACCTCTGCCCGGCTTCCCACATCCCCTCATGTCCCTTTGTCAATCCCAGACTCCCACACTCAGTCTCCTGGCTCAGC